AAACTGGTACAGATACAATGCCCTTTTGAGACATTAGAATCAGTACAACTTAGGTTATTGTCGGAATCAGAAGCCCAGACAGGATTTTATCAACCGTGATATTGCCTGTGTATGGCTAAGGACCGCACACCCGAAGAATGACTAAGCGTATTTACCCGATCATTTGTGAAATTGAAATTGTCAAGAATTACGGTAGACGAGGTTACTGCTGCAACTCACGCCCACGCCAACACCCGAACATTTATCCCGAGGAATAAGCCTTCGGAAGAAACAAACATTGTAAAATAGCCCAACCAATGCTCCAGGTGTATACGACAAGAAGTTATTACATTCCATAATAAATAAAACAAATGCCTTTTACAAGAAAACTGCATTTCAAATTAACCTTAGATTGATTACTACTCTGTTATGTAATGTTTAACTAAAATAGATCAAGACAGAAATAGTACAGGATTGGTTGGTTCTACTAGTGAAACGACAGCGTTTGATCATTCAAAAATGTCCATCTTGTTGACATTCTTTGTTGAGAGGTCATCGAGCTGACTGATCTCCAGAGATGACTTTAATATTTATTTGAAAGAGTTCGATGTTTTTTTCTTGTCGAATGAAGTCGATTTATCATAAACACAGTATAATCACCAGTCATGCTGAATCAAGCTCTGCTTAACAACTTTGTATGAAAGTCACATCACCCAATAAACTTTCGAAAGAAGTATGCTTTTGACACTGACAGCCACATCATTTTGCTTTGTGAAATTTTTATATCAGAAAGAAATACAGTCATGCTTCTGTTCACTTATTGACTTTCTTGACGTCCAAACGCTTGGTGATTTTGAAATGCAAACAATCAGCATGAAATACACAATGCCATTTTAGAAAGTGGTCAAATGTAACATATGTTCTATTTGGGATTACACTCTGTCAGTAAAGTACAGATTCTAGAACTTTTTTGGGGTATACCCAAATAGAACATATGTTAACCAACCAGCATGTTTATTCGTAGTTGTAACATAATATACCTACAATCTTGGCATACATATGTGTGAAAATATCACACTACATATTGCCTCATATCTATACAAACTAAAGTATCACCTGGTGTATTTCGTGAAGTGGATATCTATCTCCATTTCAGAACCCATTCAGAATTATTGAGTGCATACGATGCATAACCCGCTTTAATTCTCCACAGCCTTTGGGATGTTAACCAAGGCTCGCCGAATACATTGTGTACTTTCCTATCTTAAACAAATACACAGATAAGATAGTATGACTTACCTGGATTTGATATCAGTCATGTGAATCATGTATTAAGTTAATCTGCTTATCATATTATTATTATTACTCATATGAACGTCAGCTGATGATGTGTCAAGATGACTTGATGACAGCAATGTGTGTTATCAGGTAATTAGTAGGTCACTCTTGATACTTTGAAAATCTGCAGCATTTCAGGAGAAAGATGGTTCTATTTCCTTTTCAGTTCCGGTTAAAACACATTGTTAGCTATGTAAGAATGCATTATTCTGTTTTTAGGTTTTACAAGATAGGAATATATTTCTTCATGAATAGATACACTTGCGGTTCGTAAATGTCGCCACCCACTTGCTTGTAAGGGTTTAGGTACCATTGAGGAAGAGACATATCGTGGGTCTTTATGGCTCACTAAACATGACATAAAACTGAAAACCTATGTCATAATGCTGAAATAAACTTTGGAATGGTATATAATGTAACTGGCACACAACAAAACCTTATTTCCTTCAATACCCTATGGCATGTGCTAAACATATTCAGATCTCAGATGAGTCTTCTTAACTCTTAAATACGCAAGAATTACTCTTAGCAAGAACCATTTGTCAAAATTTAAAGATTTACAAAAGAAAACAATATTTGCCTTTGTGAGTATCGAGTCGGGGTATATACCTTGTGTATCCAACCTGTTTACTTTGAAAAGAAAAGAAAAACATGTATCATGGCTTACGGTTGTATAGACCAGGATGTTCCTTACATACAATAGTAAGCAATTTATTTTACCCACTTGTGACAGTAACAACGAGATAAGAACAACCAGGTGCAGTGATTATCCTTGTGATTCATCGCATGGCAGAACATTTATGCGGACGTGCATATGTGCTCAACAAGCCAGAAGGTAGTATGAGCTTACGAATAAAGCCCCGCCCTCTCAGATGTTGCTGTCGATACCGACAGTTACTGCTGAAGAACGGTTGAATAAAATACAAACATTATTCACTGATACATACTAATACTTAAGCTGTTGAAGTTTAAAGCTGTCCCGTTGTCATCTACTTGTAGCAGTATACGATCTTTAATGTATAACTGAAAACCTACGGCTTATTGTTGAAATATACATTGTGGAATATAATTGACAGACAACAAGACTTTCATAGTGCAGAAACAAAGTAGTGGTTATTCAGTGGGGAGGAGCTAATGATAAATTTAGTTCGAACAGTCGTTAGGAATATACCACAACACATTACAAATCAGTGGTACAGTCCGTTTGATTTCATTTGAGACCGATGAATTAATACAAAACAGTCAGGTAATCAAGAAGCGTGTGTGGTGAAATTTCAAGTTCACACGAACAACTCGCACCCTGGCTGTTCTACCAGCAAGTGGTCACCCCTCGTATAGAATAGCGAAAAGCGACAACAAAATAATGATCGTTTGTAAAACAACTTTTTTATTCGGGTGTCCAAAATTATGAGAGAAATCATAAGAATGGCATGTCGATTTTATGTGACTGTGCAAAATTTGGTTTTGTTGCAATTATTAGATTTTGTTTTAGTGAGCAATTCACCGGTCTCAAATGAACTCAAACGGACTGTAGAAGTGTTTTACTCTTCATATCTCGTTTTTGCTATCTTTCGAGAAAAGATCACTTTTCAATAATGATTAATGTGGGTCATACCATACAAAGAAGAAGTATATTATTTCAATGGAAATAGGCGTGATATGTTGGAAGGTCAAGGACTACGAATCAAGGAAGTTGAGTTTTTAGTTCACAGAAAAACAGAATGTGCACTTTCAACACTCCTGGTATTTCCCATAAGATAACGAAAGCCCTTCCGCAGAGGGGGAAGCGGAAGGGCTATCTGAAATACCAGGAATGTTGAAAGTACACCCGGGTTAGGTCAAGGTAACCTGGAAGGACGTAAGGTCGTTATCTACATTCATATTATGTTCCCGTGACAAAGCATTATTGTTGTCATCATGTCTCACGTCTACATGTTTGTAATGCTTTAATCAAGTCAACATATCATAACAGAATACAATCGTCACACTATGGTGTATACCACCTGTTTAGTGTGTTCCTTACTCAAGTCATGTATTCATACTGTCATCACTATACAAGGGTATACGATGGTTATTGCCACTCACAGGCATACATGGTTAAACACTAGAAACAGGATGTTGACTGTAGCAGTTGTTTTATACGATGCTTTGTCATCACTATACAAGGGTATACGATGGTTATTGCCACTCACAGGCATACAAGGTTAAACACTAGAAACAGGATGTTGACTGAAGCAGTTATTTTATACGATGCTTAGTCATCAATATGATGTTGGGACAACATCCACATTCCCTTTAATCGGGACTATGTGAGAGATCAGGGTAAATACCGTGTTGATAAACAATACCTTTAGTGTATATTATCATTTATATTAAAAGAGGAGTTAATGAATATATTCGTTAGTCATCTGCACACACTCGTTGACATACATGTTTCAAATGTTGTAAATCTATTACAATTTCAAAGCAATTAAAAACTCATGAAATGACAAATGTTTATTAAATGATGTAAATTATGAATGTTCAGTGAAGGTAGACTGTGAATGCTTCATGTAATCGGATTAAATATGCATGAACTGTGTGATACATGACTGGTGTATAATATGTGTCAATGAATCAAACGCGTTTTGTGGTAAAGATATGTATCTGTGTATGCAATAGTATGTATGTGTATTACAAGGCAATGTAAATATTGTAACAAGAATACGAATTTGACCATTCTTAGATGTTTTAAGAGAAACCGTAAATACTAAAAGGTCCATATGTTTTGTTGTTGTTCTCCTCCAAACACATTTTTCAATGTTTTTCTTAAAATATACCATCGAGCTCCAACGCGTTTTAGAAAGTAACAATATTAAATTCTGGAATACGGGATATCTGAGAGGAGTCACGTTTCTTTTACAGAACATCGTAATTTCGAGGTCATGTAGTAAGTGTGTTGACACAGTCTGGCTACTCATATCATTGCTACAAACGATAAACTGATGATTAAAATCGATATATTTGATAACTATAATCAGGTGTTATCTAGTGTTAAATCATTGTGTCTATTATCTTAATCTGAATAAAATATTCAGTCTTATCAATATCAGACTTCTGACACGAACACCTTTCTGTCAATGTAATGGCATCAAAAGATGCGGGGCTTTAAGCACAACTAATGAAGCTGAAGGTCTCGCGATAACGAGGTGAAACCTGAAGCGAACTTGTCTCTCATGGGGACACCTTAAACTGTGAATCCCTGGCGGTGTGAATCGACTCGCATTTTTCAACTTGTCCAACACTCTGAAGACGCCGCTATATAACTGGGATATAATTGAATTATAACTACCATATGTGTCAATTTTCTCAGTACACAAAACCGTAAATGCTGAGTGTCAAATACATTCTAAATTGCATTCCACATAGCACGATTTGTAACACAATCTCGCACTTCAGTAAGGCCTGCATTATACGATACTATCGACTGTACAGAAGAGCAAGCTGGCATTACTTTATCTGGGTCAAGGTCGGTGAAGTGTGCACAACTCAGGACAATGCAACACCACCTTCAAAATATGAACTATTAACAGTTGCATTAGGTCAGATCAATGCATGTTAACCCTGACACGTTCGAGACATCTGCTGTGCAAACCAGTTTCAGCTCGGAATGATCTGATCAGATACAAGCGTATACTGCCTACCTGTGCAGGTTCTGTGTAATCCCTTGTGCTACATTGTATACTACGAAATTGTCACATGATGACGAGATTTATAATTTGACATAAATATAATTTACTTCACGCAAAGTTCCTTGCAGTCTCACAAATATAAGAATAAAATCGATACTTATCTGTGAAATATTGATGAGTTAACGAAATTAATTACTGAGTTTGCTGCCAATAATAAAATGTGCAACATAATTTCCGGTACGTAGTTTCGATGAAATACCCAACAGAGCTACTTCTGATATTCGCAAACGATGCATCGAATTGTGATAATAAAACACGTCAAAGCCAGAGAACAACGATTATCATCTAAAACAAACTCCATCATGCACTCAAGGCAATGCAGTACTTGAAACCATGTCACGCCCAGTGCGACACATCTCCATGATGTCGTGACCTTTGAAAGGGAAGTAACTCGATGGTTACTCATAAGCTGAATATTATGTCAAGTTACTTTATTAATTTGTCCATAAGAAAAGTAAAGTAAAGTACTTTACGTAATTTGTACAAAATATGATTACATATTGTTTTACGTCGTGTGCATGTGTTGTGTTTCAGAAGAAAAAATATAAGCACATACTGATACATTTTATTTATTAATTTATTTTCACATTGCGGTGATTTTTGTGAAATAGATGCATCTTGTGTCATGTTTTCACACTGACAGTCGTCCACGGCTGGGTAAGAGGATTCCCTTCGCCAGTTGTTCTGGGGAACAAACAAAACAACGACAATCAATACATTCTACTATCATTAAGTGTGTGTTTTCATGCAATCAGGATCCGTGTGTCTTTGTTATAAGATCTACCATGTTAAGCATGTCTACTAGGCAGTGTTAGCCTGAGACTCAGCCACAGAAACGTATGGTGACAGGATATGTAATATATGCATCAAGCACATACTTCATGTGCATAGGTGTGCTATAACAATAACATAGTGTCCAATAACATTATGCATTCAGGAATGTTCGGTACAAGTGCCAGGGTATTAGTCTGTGACATATACCGGTGAACATTCCCACCTGGTTGAGTCTGCTGTAGCCAGAAACACCTCTTCGTCTTTGTCAGATGAATGATAAAACACAAGAGCCAAATGCCGCAGTGACGACTGCAATACATCATAACCACGAGTACAGGCACGTGGTCGGCGACCACTGCAAAACAAAAATATTTTTTCCAATCGAAATAGGTACTGTTTTCATTCATAACGTTAATATCGTTGAGAACAAACACATGAACATATAGGGCACATTGATGCTACACATTCTTTGCTTAAAGTGGGATCAATGATGACAACAAAGTCTTGACTTGATCCATTGACATTTATCGTGACCATCTGTATCCAGTACACAGACCAAGCATACCGTTCAGCAGAATATCAACTTGAATAATATACTTTTATTCCAGCGAATATAAGATTACCGTTGGTCCGTGATATCCCATTGACATTCGCCTTGAAGGATTTTCCCTGTCCAAAAGACACATGGCCATTCTGTGAACAAAGAATACCAGCATACGTGATCATTCATATAACACATGTGTCTCAGTTTGAAATGAATAATTAGTGAACATCCGAATATATAAGAATGGAGAAATTAAGTCAGAATGTAAGCAAATAATAAATACATTCTAGGCTAGCTACAGAGCTGAAAAAATATAATTGTCTTAAAGTATTTATAATTTCTATTAACCAGAACCGATATCTATAGAATATTAAGTCAGAATGTAATCAATAAGTCAGAATATAATTGTCTTAAAGTATTTATAATTTCTATTAACCAGAACCGATATCTATAGAATGGAGATATTAAGTCAGAATGTAATCAATAAATATATTCTGTGCTACAGAGCAGAAAAATATAATTGTCTTAAAGAATATATAATTTCTATTACCCAGAACTGATATCTATATCTCCTGCATTGACACAGACAGAATGGCAGTTTATGTTTTCATCGAAGCATTGTTGTGGAAGACAAGGCTTTTCTACTTGCAGACCTCAGTTTCCTTTGTTGCCATATCCTACATATGAAATAGATGTGTAAATACCATGCTACCATGTTCATCGCATGTTCCTGTTATATTTATAATGCTAGAATATTTAATGTTTCATGTTTCCTGTACATTTATATAAAGAGATAATGTTATACACATACATGCCCACATCCTTTGATACGACATAAATGTTAATGGTGTGTGGGATCTAGCGTAGTACAAATAGTCTATTTGATAGCATCACCGTACATACTTATGGAACCGCGTGTGTTAATGCATATATTTCACTTGTACTTCAAATACACAACATATTTATTTTCAGCAGCGTGTCGCGCATGAGCAACCTCAAATGTAACTTGATCATCGCCCTAATCGAATAAATGCACAAAACCCACAGAGACTGAATCTTTCCCCAATCGTGACTTTTCACATATAATATAATGTAAATTTTTATGTGATGATATCAATTTGTTTCACTCACTGATTTTAGTTGGCGTTGAGATTGGACAGATAACGTCATCTGGGTGTCATGTACCTTTCCTGTATTAACCTGTGAATATATCAGTGCAAATACACCGTGTGGTTATACCAGATACCAACGTGTACACATTAAATAGTGACTGTAGTCTACTGAAATATGTTTAAAATAATTACATAGTTGTAAATGTAAAACATCAAAGGACACAGACACTGATTTGTTTTCACTATTTTTTTCTACAATTGTGATGGGCTGTATATATTAATTTATAAATTTCCCTGGACATTTAAAATCTGCATACCTCGGTGGTTGTCGGTGCTTCAACATATTCACATATATCACTGCAGGAATCGCAGATGTGGGTGACGATGTCATATAATACTCTTTTTACACACGGGCCTTCTGTTGACTCCACCTAATAGTCATGGTTATCACAAGGATTCCCAACGAACATTTCATATCAAGTCCAGCTGACACCCTCTGGAAAATTATTTTAGTTGAGTCGGACATCGCTTTGAACCGATATAAACCGTCCGTATGTCCAGTATTGAGTCACTACTAGTCCATTTCGGACAGTTTCAGGTGTCTGGCGACTGGGACGAATATTCACCCTGGACGCCATGTTTTACTCCAGTATACATCGTGAGACCTGGACGTCAATGGATGTTGCTATATTTAGAACAACCTTTTTATCAGTTGCAGTTGGTCCAAGCAGCCAGTCTACCATGCTCGTAAGATATAAAATGGGTGTTAACTGGGATAAGATCATGCAAATTTCACTGAACAAAACGTTGTTTTTCCTGTCACAATATATCCGCATGTATCCTCGGTAGATCGCACAAATGGGTCTCTCTACAGCAACCCGAATCATTTCACGTAAACAAATTGAGGTAGCATACAAACATAAGGCACTGGTGATAACTGACAAACAAATTTACATAGTTTACATAGTCGATCTGTACTCGTCATCTTGAATAGAAAATTGCATGTATATTTGGCATTATATTCTTTTTCAAGTTGGATATCAATATATTGCAGATATCTGACAAGGGCAAATGCAAAGCACATACATGTATACATGTAACACAAATAAACATTAAATCCGGCCTCATTCCAATGATGCATTTTGAAAAAGAACTCACCTGAGTTATATTTAAACGAAAGAACTGAAGTAAATTACAAAATGTTACACCCTGACCACGAATATTGCAGTACAATTTGCATTCATAAACACCAACTGGAAGATATATACGATAAATAAATGAGATGTTCGATTAATAGGGCACACACTGACATTCTGAACAGGGTTGGAGATCTAACTCTGACATACCACTGCAATCTCAAACTAAAGAATATACTTAAACTATTCTATCCAAAGTAACCCCATTCTCAAATATCACCCCTCCGATTGCGCCATTGCTCATATGGGATATTGACTATCAAGAATGTATATAATCAAAATGAATGATTGATGTATTAATATGGTGATTCATTATACAACGGTTGAAATCGTTACATAATAACCTACACCTATCTCAGAAAATATTTGTTTACGTGAAGCCTGAAGTCCCCAATGATGTTAGAAATGTTGGTAATATAATCCGCGTCTCAATTAACAACACTTGTCAAATCTCTCTCTCTCTCTCTCTCTCTCTCTCTCTCTCTCTCTCTCTCTCTCTCTCTCTCTCTCTCTCTCTCTCTCTCTCTCTCTCTCTCTCTCTCTCTCTCTCTGATGTATAGCATATTAAGACAAAATACATCATAGTTACAACACTTTTATTGGAGACTCAGTAAAACATTATATAATCAACAAAACATCACAAAACATTTCTTTCAGAACCGATTTGTTAACTACACTCATTCGATTTGTTTTACATTACCATTCAGGTATATACATTGATATACCATTAGACTTGATCACTTGAAATCTCAGAATATATAAAACAATACTTATTACATACACAACCGACATGATAACATTCAAGAAACACCAAGCACTGGCATATTAGTTCCTCTACAACTATCTTTATCAAGAAACAGCTGACGACATGCTGACCAACAACAGACACGAGATTTCTTATGCACAAACTGCATATATTCCACGTCTACATTGATGCCACTCAGAGTAATCGTAGTTTCAGCTTCCTCATTCCGCCCTCGTCGTTTGCTCAGATTTGTTTCCATTCTTCCACTGTACAGTATGATGACCAAGGCCACCATGGATACCAGAATAATGACCACTCCCACAGTGATGACCACCCCCTCTGGCATCAAGTACCTATCTAGAAGAGCGATAGTCAAATTATTCAAAGACTGGCTGGCTGTACATACGTATAATCAGTGCAGGTATATTTAAAACAACGTCAACGATAATTACTCAGTGGAATACTATCCATATTCTCAGAAAGCTTTGTATGACATTATACCACTCACCGTCATACAAAGGTAAAGTTGCTGCCTCAGCTGCACTGGTGGTTGTCAACGTGTCAACGTGAGTCGCCGAAACAGTGTTATCTGAAGACACTGTCATACAAAAACCGCCATGAAATATGCCATAGAAAGTAAACTTTGTACGACGTGCATGTTTGATACCAAATATACCGTATACAATAAATGCTTTTTTTATCTGTTCATTTAACGAATAAGAGCCATAACCTCAAGTAAAGCAATCAGATAACATCCTTTGTTTTTTTAAAAAAGACCATTATAAAGGTTAACAGGTTCAGATATCCCCTTCATTTAAGACCCCTATACATGTATTGCTATGTTCGTGTTTCATACTTCCAGATAAACATCAAGAAATATAAATGAGGTGAGTATGTTTGCTAATGTGTTACCTATCTAATGTAGGATTTAATGACAGAACTGACAGATTGTACCTGGACACAGTCTACCTTTCTAATGTAGGATTTAATGATAGAACTGACAGATTGTACCTGGACACAGTCTACCTTTCTAATGTAGGATTTAATGATAGAACTGACAGATTGTACCTGGACACAGTCTACCTTTCTAATGTAGGATTTAATGACAGAACTGATAGATTGTACCTGGACACAGTCTACCTTTCTAATGTAGGATTTAATGACAGAACTGACAGATTGTACCTGGACACAGTCTACCTTTCTAATGTAGGATTTAATGACAGAACTGACAGATTGTACCTGGACACAGTCTACCTTTCTAATGTAGGATTTAATGACAGAACTGACAGATTGTACCTGGACACAGTCTACCTTTCTAATGTAGGATTTAATGACAGAACTGACAGATTGTACCTGGACACAGTCTACCTTTCTAATGTAGGATTTAATGACAGAACTGACAGATTGTACCTGGACACAGTCTACCTTTCTAATGTAGGATTTAATGACAGAACTGACAGATTGTACCTGGACACAGTCTACCTTTCTAATGTAGGATTTAATGACAGAACTGACAGATTGTACCTGGACACAGTCTACCTTTCTAATGTAGGATTTAATGACAGAACTGACAGATTGTACCTGGACACAGTCTCTACCTTTCTAATGTAGGATTTAATGACAGAACTGATAGATTGTACCTGGACACAGTCTACCTTTCTAATGTAGGATTTAATGACAGAACTGACAGATTGTACCTGGACACAGTCTACCTTTCTAATGTAGGATTTAATGACAGAACTGACAGATTGTACCTGGACACAGTCTACCTTTCTAATGTAGGATTTAATGACAGAACTGACAGATTGTACCTGGACACAGTCTATCTTTCTAATGTAGGATTTAATGACAGAACTGATAGATTGTACCTGGACACAGTCTACCTTTCTAATGTAGGATTTAATGACAGAACTGATAGATTGTACCTGGACACAGTCTACCTTTCTAATGTAGGATTTAATGACAGAACTGACAGATTGTACCTGGACACAGTCTACCTTTCTAATGTAGGATTTAATGACAGAACTGACAGATTGTACCTGGACACAGTCTACCTTTCTAATGTAGGATTTAATGACAGAACTGACAGATTGTACCTGGACACAGTCTACCTTTCTAATGTAGGATTTAATGACAGAACTGACAGATTGTACCTGGACACAGTCTACCTTTCTAATGTAGGATTTAATGACAGAACTGACAGATTGTACCTGGACACAGTCTACCTTTCTAATGTAGGATTTAATGACAGAACTGACAGATTGTACCTGGACACAGTCTACCTTTCTAATGTAGGATTTAATGACAGAACTGACAGATTGTACCTGGACACAGTCTACCTTTCTAATGTAGGATTTAATGACAGAACTGATAGATTGTACCTGGACACAGTCTACCTTTCTAATGTAGGATTTAATGACAGAACTGACAGATTGTACCTGGACACAGTCTACCTTTCTAATGTAGGATTTAATGACAGAACTGACAGATTGTACCTGGACACAGTCTACCTTTCTAATGTAGGATTTAATGACAGAACTGACAGATTGTACCTGGACACAGTCTACCTTTCTAATGTAGGATTTAATGACAGAACTGACAGATTGTACCTGGACACAGTCTACCTTTCTAATGTAGGATTTAATGATAGAACTGATAGATTGTACCTGGACACAGTCTACCTTTCTATGTAGGATTTAATGACAGAACTGACAGATTGTACCTGGACACAGTCTACCTTCTAATGTAGGATTTAATGACAGAACTGACAGATTGTACCTGGACACAGTCTGCTGCAGAGGTCCACAGTTCCTCTAACTTCGGCTTGATGGCACAACTCAGCGCAAGACTGACACTTCTCGGTTTTTATGTCGAAGTAGAAGTCCTTCCGGCACGCCGACATTTTGCCCTTAGCATCAATACCCAATACACTCGTTCATTGCACGACACGTTTCCGGGTCCTGACCTCCCTTTGTCAGTATAATCGATAATATTGCTGTAGCCGTGTAATAGTGATCGTAGCGCTCCTATTGTCATGCTGAAGGTAATCGCTATATCTACTCCGATATATTAAACGTTAAGGCCAGAGAGTAACCAGAATTGATTCTGCCCCGATACGGATTCATGAAACATATATAGTCATAGGGAAAACACACGTTATGATGAATGTTCGTGGTGTCCATGGCACACACATATAATACACCCTTTGGACTAAAAGCGAGAAAAACATTATCAATATTCATGATAAATCTCAATTAAAAGTAGAATCAGTTTTTAATTAAATATATCATGAACATGTATCAATTAGTAATGATATCGGGTATTTGGTAGTCAAGTGATGGGGCTTATTTAACGCATTTTATCATACACTGAATCATTGTAGCTGATTATTGTAACAATGTTCAAAATTTGTATTCTTAAATGTTTGTTAACACCATACAGGATCGATCTGAATCATAGCAGCATGCCCATTTAAAGCTTGGCAAAGGTGGGACCACTCCAGAAACCTGTGGCAGGCGGTTTGAGATCATATCTCCCCGATTTGGCTTCGTGGGTTGTTGGCACCGTTACTGTGCTCTAGGGTTTGCGTGAAATGTAACCGTCATAAAAGCGGCATAAAAATATACTCACTCACTCCCAACAAAAAGGTCTGAAAGTGCTTCTTTTTTCGTAAATATATGATTATTAAATGAATTAAGAGGCTGCTATGTGGCATTTTATTACCGAAGAAATTATCTTTCGATATGATGGCATCTGCTTTCTCTTTTTGCGTATAATTGCACGTGATCAATGAAGATAGTGTTATGGACAAAGACAATCTTTTAACACTTTTCTCCTTGTATTCAGTGTGCGAAATAGTTCCCAAATTTTGCTAGCCAGTCGGGTTAGCTATGCCTGAAAGTTACCTGCCCACAAAATAATTCACTAGCCCGAAATTTGAATGTAGAAACTAAGCAAAAGATTACAAAAATAGATGAGAATAAGATACTGTCGGTATGACACGGGTTTTATCATTAAGATGCTAATATGATGAACATTTTTATCAGGCCACAATTTTGCATGATTTAAAACTGTATTATAATTTCAAGTCGGAGAGAGTGATATATTTACAAAATGACCCCTTGAAAATTCACTAGCCAGTCGGGTCAGTGACTGGAGATTTACTGACCCGACTGCAATTTTACTAGCCATATGCAAGCGGGCCAGTGGCAATTTCGCACACTGCTTGTATTGTGTATCGCCTAACGATATAGATCCTTGAATCCATGAAAACTTCGATTGTTGTAAGAACTGAGTTTAGTCACTTTAGTTACTAGAATTTAAAACGTACGTTTCTGTTAAGCGTGGCCTATTCAATATGAAATCAATATTAGTCATGTATATTAACATCTTTGACAATATATTATCTATATTTCTTTTTCTATTAGTCTTGTTCGACTACAGAAGTATATACTTCAGTGTCCAGGGCTTGTATATCCTGGTTTCTCTTAGTAAGTGACCTAGTTGTATCCGATTACGCCAAACAGGGTCAAGGTGCCATATGTCACACCCACGCGACCATGAATCATTCAAACTGAAATAAGTCAAAGCCTGGCGTTGTCAAGACATGCTAGACTAGGTAATTGTTAATAATGGTTGGTAACTGAATGATGAACATAACTAGATATTTCGTTTATATAAGCAGAATATAAGATGTTGTTCACAATCATTATGATCTGAAATGCCTTAAGGAAGGGAGTGTTGCCATGTATGCCATTCCAAGACCTGAACATGCCAGAATGTAGTTGTATTGGAATAACCTTGCATGGTGCCGGTGTCTAATGTAAAGGGGAGGTAACTCAAGACCTTCTCCGAGTGTGGCTCGTTGAAAACAGTATCACAAACAGACCATACTTTCCATGGAGAGGACGAACTTGCTTTCTTGTTCAATAAAACGAAGATGAGTATCATATTAACAAGCAAAGATTGTGAATTTTTAAACTTGTTTATTTTGAACCTGTTTTATATATTACACTGAATGGGTTAGACATCTTCCATCACCCTGATGGTCATCCTCGGGATGTGTTAGAGGGTTTCCTTCGCCAGTCAGGAGTTCTGAAAGAGGACAAAATTAAGTGTGAGGCATATATGCTTGGTATTCACATTTACGATTCACGATGGTTCTTACAACAAGTACAGTGTGTGATATTCACGTTTTTTCAAACCCAAAGTCTGTTTACGAAAATCCTCAGAACAAGTATTCCTTATTGTTCTAATTATGTCATCGTGTTGTAATCAAATGTTGTTATAATCAAACATATGAAAAAAGAAACAAGCTGATTCACACGCAATATACCTTCACATTTACACTGTCAGTGTAGCATACTGAAAGTGATGTGATTGTGGCGATGTGTTGTGTTTGGGTAATGGGTCGGAGGTGTGAGAGACGTTGTGGCTGTAAGAGTGGAAGCATCCAGTGAATGAAATATATTGGGTGGATGAAGCTGACCTTAGAAGTTATGTCAATTATCGACAGCTAACAGGATCTGATGTCTGTGGTTCATATTTAGTGGGTATTGGTGTTAGTGGGTGTTGGAGAGGGTAGCTGACAAATACCTGGTATGGGTTTAGATGGACGCTGACAGAAACACTTCTTCCTCCTGATCAAGAACACACACAGAACGCCAACTGCAGCAACCGCCACCACACACGTAGCAAGTAGGATGACCACTGTGTAAAAAGCATTATGAGGTGAGATGAGGTGAAATTGGGTTTAACGTCGTGCTTGAGAATATTTCGCTCATATGACGATGTGCATGTGTGTGTATATGTGTGTGCGGCTGCTTGTACTAGCCCAGACTGAAGCTGGTTTTATAGTGCTAGCCCACTGAGATACCATGCCGCAGTGAAGCATGAATACCCCACTCAGACACATTATACTGACTCCGAGCCGACCAGTCCTTGATGTACCCATTAATGCCGAGCGCCAGGCAGGGACCAACAAGTACCATATTTTAACGTCTTTTGGTATGACGCGGTAGGGGATCGAACCCGCGACCTTCCGCTCTCTGGGCGGACGCTCTAACCACTACACCACGGAGGCGGTCAAAAGGCATTTTGATTATATTTAGTAATTATACAATTATACAACAATTATGTTATCCGAAATTAATTTGCTTAACAAATTCTTCATGTACAAAATTCACTGATTAAGTTAGTACTACGGCATACATTTATTTGAAACAGATATCACAGAACCACAATATTTTACAATGCACGTACATGAGTAAGGTAGGTTGTAGGTGACGAGTGATTTGTTCTGAGAATTTGTCATGGTTGAGTCTTGTGGAGAGACAGTTGTAGTGCTATTACCAGGCCACTCTGCAACAAAGCAACAACATTCCTTACCAACTTTAACAATATTATGTAACCAAAATAGGTGACCGGAAATAATATATTCACTTTCACAAGATCAAATATTTATAAAGGAGAACAAACTGACCAGGGCAGTGACGTCGACATTTTTCTTCATGGTCCCGTTCATGTGATCCAAGATGGATGCAGAGACCCTCACAGGAGTCACATCGAGACACAACGGCATCATAATAGTGTAGATATGGGCATTTCCTTCCGTGTGGAGATTCTCTGCGACCATATCCTAGAATCAAATAAAGGATTCATAATCACGTGGTCTCAGTGAGATAGATACTGAAAGCACATTGGGATACCACCCACGAAATACCTATGCACCTTTGAAGTTGAATACTCTTTCATTGTATCACAGTTACTAATAAGATGTCGAGATATAATTAATGTAGTACTGTGTATACGTTTTGCAACAACATACAGACTTGTTATTACATTATGACGCAATGCAAATAAAGCTAGAGTCAATCTCACCTGGACATTTAGTTTCGCATTCGGCTGTTGTTTTTTGCACCTCGGAGTTCTCACATATATGACTGCAAGGGTCACAGTTGTCGGTTCCAGTATCATAGTACGTCCCTACTTCACATATCGGCTTCCCTAGTACTGTGCATAGGAACACAGACGCCAACACGAATCCTACTATGTTCGAACTAGGCTTAACCAATGCCCTTCGAAAATCTGTTTCGACTGAGTCGGGCATGACAGTGATAAATCCTATCCAAATGAAGTCTTCTTTCCAGTGTCACGTTACCCCAGCTCTGATTAAGGAGGTGTGTGGGGACCCTCCTGTGTCTGGTGGTGGAGACGAACATTATGGTGCTTTGAGAAAGATTCACCATGCTATATATCCTGGATTACCTTGCGTATGACCTCTATAGCTCACGCCACCTATATTTAGTCACGTGACAGTGACGGGAAAACCCAACGGACAGTGACGGAAAACCCAACTGTTAGCTTTTCTATCTTTATTCTTATGTTCCTGTTCACTGGAACTAAAGACACGTCATAAGTGTGACAGATCTTTGCTCACAAGATCCCTGGACCAAGGCTGCAGACTTCAGATATCGGTTTAGTCCATTTATTGCTACTTCAAATACCAACTGACTGGGTGTAACGATTGTTGTATGTCATATAGTAAACTCACTCACCATTTTATAGATTAAATCAGAACTAATATCCACATAGTCGAATAAATGCCCCCAGCAAGTATGACCACACGACTGTATTTAATCAACTCTCCATAATGTTCAGCGATTTTCATTGATGACAAAAAAAAAGGCAAAATACCATTGTTTATTTGTTTTATTCTTCATGGGTAAAGTGCAATGTGCATCATACAATTAACTATCATATCTAAAAACGAATTTATTCAAATGATATTCTAGATGTTTTGGAAAATGAACCTTATAGATTTAATGTGAAACTATACATGTATATTCTATGGAATCCTGGAAGGGACATTGTCGCAATGCGACAAATGGGCGAAATGTCGCGTTGTTGCGATGTCGCGTGTCGCATTTTGGTTTATTTTGCCTGACTTTACTTGTTTTTGAGAGGGCAACAATGCGACATAGCGACAATGTCCCTTCTCGGATTCCATAGAACTGTGCTTTCTCTGACTGGTATATATTTGGGAAAAGAGCGACTGAATTTCTTTCCTCAGCAGAACTGTTAAGGACACCAGAGAAATCAGGACGATGCCCACTGCCAGTATAGTGACAGCATATTCTGCCGCCGAATACCAATCTGAAAAATATGTCGTTTTTTTTCGTTTTATAAGTATTAAAGCCATCCCAAAACTGAACTTGATCCTTAGATAAATTAGAACCAAGCTGTTGCCATTTGTAAAATGAACTGATGCAATTGATAAGTGGCGCTTGTCTTAGCGTTCAGTCAAATCAATCGATCAGTATTATTTTTTTAATCCACAAAGTTAGAAGCAACTCACATTACTTTCACACCAACACGAATCCTACTATGTTCGAACTAGGGCTTAACCAATGCCCTTCGAAAATCTGTTTCGACTGAGTCGGGCATGACAGTGATAAATCCTATCCAAATGAAGTCTTCTTTCCAGTGTCACGTTACCCCAGCTCTGATTTAGGAGGTCTGTGGGGACCCGCCTGTGTATGGTGGTGGAGACGAACATTATGGTGCTTTGAGAAAGATTCACCATGCTATATATCCTGGATTACCTTGCGTATGACCTCTATAGCTCACGCCACCGATATTTAGTCACGTGACAGTGACGTAAATGGGAAAACCCAACTTGTAGCTTTCTATCTTAATTGTTATGTAATTTCCTGTTCACAGGAACTAAAGACACATCCTAAGTGTGACAGATCTTTGCTCACAAGATCCCTGGACCAAGGCTGCAGACTTCAGATATCGGTTTAGTCCATTTATTGCTACTTCAAATACCAACTGACTGGGTGTAACGATTTGTTGTATGTTATATGGTAAACTCACTCACCATGTTATAGATTAAATCAGAACTAATATCCACATAGTCGAATAAATGCCCCCAGCAAGTATGACCACACGACTGTATTTAATCAACTCTCCATAATGTTCAGCGATTTTCATTGATGACAAAACGCAACGCAAAATACCATTCTTTATTTGTTTTATTCTTCATGAGTAAAGTGCAATGTGCATCATACAATTAATTATCATATCTAAAAACGAAATTATCCAAATGATATTCTAGATGTTTTGGAAAATGAGCCTTACAGATTTAATGTGAAACTATACATGTATATTCTATGGAATCCTGGAAGGGACATTGTCGCAATGCGACAAATGGGCGAAATGTCGCGTTGTTGCGATGTCGCGTGTCGCGTTTTGGTTTATTTTGCCTGACTTTACTTGTTTTTGAGAGGGCAACAATGCGACATAGCGACAATGTCACTTCTCGGATTCCATAGAACTGTGCTTTCTCTGACTGGTATATTTTTGGGAAAAGAGCGACTGAATTTCTTTCCTCAGCAGAACTGTTAAGGACACCAGAGAAATCAGGACGATGCCCACTGCCAGTATAGTGACAGCATATTCTGCCGCCGAATACCAATCTGAAAAATATGTCGTTTTTTTTCGTTTTATAAGTATTAAAGCACATCCCAAAACTGAACTTGATCCTTAGATAAATTCAAACCAAGCTGTTGCCATTTGTAAAATGAACTGATGCAATTGATAAGTGGCGCTTGTCTTAGCTTTCAGTAAAATCTATCGATCAGTATTTTGTTTTAATCCACAAAGTTAGAAGCAACTCACATTACTTTCTCGGGATTCAAACCTATATCCTCACAGCGGATTTTTTATTAAGTTATTTTCGAGTGTATTGCATTCAATAACTCGAATTGCATGTGTTATCTAAATCAGGTGAAGTGATGAGTGGTTTTTATCTAAGCGCTCCAGCTACCTCGATGCGGCTTGTAAACAATTAGTGTCCAGTGATTGATGCCATGAGGACGCAGAACCATTTAGCCTGACCACCAACAATCAGCATTGGTTACTGGCAAAACATTTAAACAGGCATCCCACAGGGATAGACATTTTGTGACAAGGGACTGGTCATTATTGCATGACGAGCAACTAAGATTTTGCATAAATGCGACAATCATTGTGAAAAAACTAGTGGTATCCAGCGTGGTTGTATCCAGACAATCTCTAACTGATTTTAGTATTATGATCTCTTCATTCGACATTCGGAACTTACAGTGTTCACTGCTTGAGATATCGTGTGATGGTAGGGTTGCAGATGTTGTTGTAGCTGGAGCAGTGAGTGTTGCTGTCGCAGCCTCCGGTAGCGATACTAAAATACACAAAGAGTAATACAACAACTCCAGTAGGCTCCAATATTGTATGATGTGAGGTCAAACTGTTAAAAACGAAGTACTGCATGTCAATTAAATGTGCGTCGGATTTCAGTTATGTTTTAGCTGTACTATCGGCTGAATTGAAGAGATGTCAGTGGACCGACCATAAGCTGACAAATCCACCAATAGTTATATTGAACCTGTGCATGTCGTGTTATATGCTCAGGACATGTGGTAGTTGTACCTGTTGTCAGACCTTTGGGTTGAGTGAATAGGTTTAGTTGTACTGTAAATAATCGAGTCTGGACCAGACAATCCAGTGATCAACAGCATGAGCATCGATCTACACAACTGGGAACTGATGACATGTGTCAACCAAGTCAGCGAGCCTGACCACCCGATCCCGTTAGTCGCCTCTTACGACAAGCACGGGTTACTGAAGATAAATATTCCTAACCCGGACCTTCACCGGTCAACAACATATGAAGTCCATGTTACCTGGACATAGTCTCCTGCAGGGTTCGACAGTCCCTCTGACCTCTGCTTGATGACAGAGTTCATTACAAGGCTGACATGTGCCAGAGGCCGCTTCCCAGTAGAAATCCGTCGAGCAACTGCCCATGTGCCTCCACGGGGTTGTTCGATCTGTATTGTGCAGAAATGTTCCTGTTTAAAAATAATAATTTGGTGGAGAACAACATTTCACATGCCTGTTTTGTAATATGGTGATACTGAAGAAATAGCATGCTAATATTTATTTGAGTAGTGAAAGAAATGAATTCCATTGATTATGTAATTATGAAGTCCAACAACAGTACGGTATCGCATAAGGTACATGTGTAGCATCAGGTAGTATTTGTAGACTACACATTGACTATATAAATATGTACCTTATTTTTCATGTTTCTACAGCACAACTTCCCTTTAGAAAGATCCATAAGGGGATCAGTTTCAAACATTTGCCTTATTTTATGTTTCTGATTTAGCATATAAAAAGTTGAAATGAATCGATGAGAAATCTGTAAGGAGAATATGTTTCAAAAGTCTAAATATTTTTCTCGCCTGATAATAAAACCTGTTGAAATGAATCAATCTGAAGTAGAATTATCAAGCCTTAACATCTCTTTTTATCACCTGTTCAAACTAAACCATACATTTACATGTTTCCATATATTTAATTGTACTAGGAAAGTACAAGTACATTTTGGTTGCTTTCGTATTGTTGAAGTTATACAACTCGCCTGTGTCATTTAGTCCGTCCTTTATTAGACAAGTGATAGTTCGGTGTGTTGTGACGTTCACCCCCCATCAGTAATAGCAGGATGTTTCCACAATATGCTACTCACTCACTGTGTGCTAACACCGTAGGTGCCGCCAGTGGAAGCATGGAATAGTGTCGTTCACTGGACACAGAAACATTCTAAGTTTAGTTTTCACACGGCATGGCCATCGAACTGGATGTCTTCGAAATGCACCGATATGGCAAATACTCCGCATTAATCAATAAAATAGCAGCTTTTTCTAAACATTCTAATTATTATGTGTGTTACGCTCATTTTGTAACGTAACGTAAAACTACTATTTCCATACCAATAATGTCAACCCATGCTTGTCGTAAGAGGCGACTAATGGGATCGGGTGGTCAGGCACGTTGACCTGGCTGACACATGTCATCGTATCCTAATTGCCGAGATCGATGCTTGTGCCGTTGATCACTGGATTGTCTGGTCCAGACTCGAATGTTTACAGACCGCCACCATTAAGTGGAACATTGCCGAGTGTGGCGTTAAACAACCAACCAACCTATAGTATCAATAGTGAGTGAACCTGATTCTATCTATATATTGTCAAAGGCAAGATGTGCAATGTGCAATTCCAATCGTTACATGTCGACGTGTATCTGGGTATTGAATTTGTTATATATCCTGAGAGAAACAAATAAAGGAACACAGGAAAATTCAAGACTTAGTGTTCCTTTAATATTTTCAATTGTTCATCATCAGCTTAGAATAGCGCTGTGGGAGGAAATCTGAGAAAAAATATAGGAACACTGATATGAAGTGGTGTTCTCTTATTTGTTTCCCTCAGTATATTTTATATTAAATCTTCACGTATTTGGGCATATTTTCCCCGCCAACTTCACCTCTTGCAAGTCTTTAAGTCTAAGCTTAAAACGCATCTCTTCAAGAAATATCTGTAAACGCCAACCTTCCTGTACATATAACCTGGATATATGTTATGCGCTTAGAGCATGTCCCTGAGTGATGTGGATGAGGCGCTATAAAAGTACTATTATTATTATTATTATTATTATTATGTTTTACAGATTACAGATGAAAATTGCAGCAGAGAGGGTTCGGGTGATCCTGGCACAGTCAGGCTGGTAAGGCTCATCATCAGCTCAGGGCCCTCGCCCCCTCTACACGCAGCCCAGACAGCGAATGGGACTTCTCCCAGGAAACACTGCCTAGTCGCAACCACCAAGAACTTTCCGGAGAATATGAAGGCTCCCTAACACTGCAGCCTTCTGCATTACCAAGAGTGTCAGAAGGGCTGTGCTCCAGGTGGAGAACCCGGGCACTCTCCTGATCTGCGCCAATAGATCAGGAGGTACCAAACCAAGGGCACCGAGAACAATGGGGAGGCTGACGACAGTTTACTTGGGATGCAAGCGAGACATTTCAAAGGCGAGGTCCGCATACTTATCATGCTTTTCCCGAATTTTGTCAATCACATTGGTGTCAAAAGGGAGAGAAAATTCAATGATTGTAACGGTAATATTATTAACATTCTAATAAACATAAAATAATCTGTTACAGAAAGGCACACGGTATGGCTACACATTTCCCATTTTATAATGACCTTGTCACGGGGAAGTGTAAGCTCACTGAAATATGCCGGAACGAAACCACCACGTAACTCTTCGATAACTATAAATAACTGACGCGGAAGGCAAGCCTAAACAGGTCAGCACACGCCCCATAAACAAAATAGTCCCCCCTATTAATATGTACTATTAGATACTCATCTACATATCGGTCATGGACGTTGTAGGGATTGTCTGTGCTTGTTACACATCGGCAAATTTTATAAGTCACGATACAAAGCTCATTACAAATGTATTAAAACTAATTTATGTGTTGAGTCTTATCCTAGGTATTGGCTTTGAAAGATGATTCGGAAGAACCGTTTAAAAAAAGTCCATAGTGAACACTACAACGTATTCACGTGACCAATGCTTAACTAAACAGAAGAACTGTTACCTCTATTCTCATTCGTGATTCCTCTTTCGGGAGCCTGGCGGAGTAATCTAGATAACACGGGGCTACTTTAATCTGCATACAATATGCTACAATACAATGCTACAATACTAAACTTGAAAGAAATATAGCAATCAAACAAGTATCCTTAAGAAGTATGTCATGGCTCAAAGTTACCGACTATTCGGAAAATTATAGTATAACGTAAATATAAGCTATATATGATTCATCTTAAAGGTCACATGCAACGTAAAACACAACTTTGCAGATTCTGATACCTTTCGGTATGGACATACCGAAACAAATAGTCAAAAATGCAAATTCAACTTATAAAGTTGAAAAATAACGCGATGAAAAAAACAGCGCGAAATCGGAGTTCAAACGTTTCACTAATTTTCCCCAGAGATTTCTGGGGAAACGGGTTTCAACAGCTGGGCTGCGCCCATAGCACGTGCGCAAGTAAATAGGTTCACGCAGCTTGGAAGCGGGTTGTCGGGTGAATACTCGGTGAAGGCCTTGGTGTGAGCTATTTTTCTAATGTTTTGTTGATATCTCACAGGCGCGAACTTTTTATATGTTATGACAGTAAATTAACTTCATTTGTCTATTTCACCACACGTTCTTCTTACCGAGACGCTTTCTCAGTTCGATACTTAAAAGCAATGTCATTATTTAGCGTTGACTCAGTTTCTAACTGTGATATAGATATGTCGTTGTCACAGACAAAACTCAATGTCTTGTTTTATTGACACCTGTGTGTCTGCCTGCCTGTCTGCTAATGAAAATATTCAATACACAACTGCAATCACTGACCACATGCAATTCGAACTTAACACCAATCAGGCTATACACCATAAACAAAACGCATTGATTTATGGCCCGAGTTCGGTCTCTGTCACATTATGTAATTACACAGACAGGCAGGTGTGATACTTGAACACATGACATGTTATGATGTCTGTTGATTGCAAAATGTTATACACAAAAAATGAGCATCTATTTACAAAACCCATCATCTCTATATACACACACAATATGAGGCCTGAAGGCGGCATCTGCTAATGAACCAGCCGTTACACCCACCCGCTCTGACTGGGTTCGGTATCCCGGCTGCTTCGTTTCGAGGGAGGTAAACCCAAGTACAAAATATTGCACTTTTGATTTGCGATTATACGCTTATAATTTTGTTTATTTGTTTTTTCATAATCAGCAATGCATATTATATGTCATGAAGAAGTGATAATTGTGTTTTAATTATGTTTGATTTTTTTGGTTGCATGTGACCTTTAACATATTTCAATCACTGACATCTCAACAACAGGACGTGACGTTTTTCCAAACCACGTGACCCTTGCTATACATCTACCCATTGAGATTCTGTGAAGAATTTAGTTGGACAACTGGCCCCTAAGATTTCAATGTTATAGCAACAAGTCTTTCTGTGATTAGTTGTCAGGAGTGCAATCTGGTGTAACCGGTTGTTTTGTTATCTATGCATTAAACGCACCTTTGCATGCATTCTCCCCTTGTATCGATCACTGTACAATGGGGGCAGGAATGTAAGTGGTTAGGAGAAGTAAAGCTAGACTGTGACATGAACTCTCACTGACATTTCAAATGGCGTCACTTAGTTGTGTTTGAGCCCCTGCAATTCACACACATACTTTAATCTTAAGCATTCCAGTGCGTGGATCTGTACTTTACTGGGAAAGTGTGATCCCAAATATAACATATGCTACATTTGACTACTTTCTAAACGGCATTGTGCATTCACAGTTCTAGCAAACTTGATTATGTCCCTAAAAAGCCACTTTGTGTATAAGCTGACTCCGATCTGCTTGTGATAGAAACGGAATCGTACATTCGAATGACTTTCCATAAGATTGTGAATAAAGTTTAAGTTATAGTACTCACGGAAATAGAAATAAAATTGGTGCTTATTTCGTAGTTTTGAACATAACTAAAGTTTGACTGTTAAATATTCATGACTATCGTTATTATGGTAGTTTGAATGACAATTAGAGGACCAAATTTAAACGCCTAGTTAACAATAACATACTTATTTTAATATATAAACTACCTATTTTGATGGAGTAATAAACAATTAACCACCAAATAACATTATATTAATATTTCCGTGAGTACTTTAGTGAATGTGTCCTGGTTCTTTTGCAGTAAAGATATTAGGGATGAATATCACGTTACAATGAAGTAATGGTTATATCCCAAAGTTATTTCCAGATATGTCTTAAGTGATTGAGAAACATACCTGAACACACCATGGACAACATGTAAACTATCAAGGAATATCTACTTACGGTGGTCAGATTTTGGTTTTATTATTGATGTAACCTGCCGCCAGGGAAAGGGGGACCTAGAGGGGTGGGGTCTGTGGGGTGTTTTCTAAATTTTAAGTTTCTATCACTATCTGAACCTGTGCATGCCGTGTCATATGCTCATGACATGTGGTAGTTGTACCTGTTGTCAGACCTTTGGGTTGAGTGAATGAGTTTAGTTGTACGCCGCACTATATGTAATCGAGTGTAAATAATCGAGTCTGGATCAGACAATCCAGTGATCAACAGCATAAGCATCGATCTACACAACTGGGAACTGATGACATGTGTCAACCAAGTCAGCGGGCCTGACCACCCGATCCTGTTAGTCGCCTCTTTACGACAAGGATGGGTAACTGAAGATCAATTCTAACCCGGATCTTCACGGGTCAGACCTTTAGCGTCTCATAACCAAACTAAAACTAATAATAACAAATTTAAAGATGTTTCACTCCCAGAAATAACAAACAGAATTTACGTAGACAATGTTATGAAAGATTTAATACGAGTTATAAAATGTCTGTTGTTATCATCACAACTGAGTTATGAATGACTTTTAGTTCTCCATCTCTATTGCAATGACATATGTAGTGTGATGTGGTGCGATGTGGTGCAATGTGGTGTGGTGTGGTTAAAAAAGATCAGTCATGAATCTTATGTTTAGTGTAAATACCATTTCAGTCACTATTTAATTTACCAGTTCCTGTCGAGAAGACAAGCAGAACAAATCGAAAATAATGACAGATCCATTTTATTCATAAAAACTGATATAACTGCTCTAGAGAAGTGGAAAGACCCAATAACTTCAAACTTCATTTTAATCCACCATAGTGACTGAAGTACAAGTTAACGTCAATATTTCATCACGTCAACCATGTATCATTCTTACATATTATGCTACATCCCAAACAGATCTCATAATACACCATCCTTGTGGACATACTTGCACTTATATAACACATTAATCTCGCATCAAAGATGGATTTAGTATGCAATATCATAATATAAAATTATGCATGGTACTTTTGGACCGTTTGACCCGTGCTCCTGTCGAAAGTACAATAAGTAGGTATATGCCATGCATATTTACATCGTTTGACTGCCCTCGCGTTAAAGGCTTTCTCAGTTATTTTGCATGGTTCGCCTAGGTACCATCAGAAAACTGCTGGTAAACCCATCTAGATAACCCTTTTTGTCACCGTTTTTCCCCACCCATTTCCTTGACTTTCAACATCTAGTCCTATATCCAGATTCATGACCTTTTGCCAGTCCTTATGGTGGCTATGCTATGCTTGCCTGCACCACAGGCAAGGTGATGTTGATCCTTGTTTTGTTCATCGCCAGCACAGCGCTATAATAACTGCATATACCACTGTCACCAATGTGGTCATTAACATCAATTTCCAGATCCTTGACCAGCTCATCCACATTTGAAATTCGTTGAAAGTACAGGTAACTAAGTGTCTATGACAGGTGCAGAAGGCGGCGGTCTTTCTGTTTCAGGAACACCTGGAGTATAAATGTCATAATAATGTAAAAGATAACATGTGGTTTCAGTATGAAAAATTGGTATTAAGCATAAAATAACGTCACTGTTTTATTCTTTTAAGCTTGTGTCCTCTCGATTCCACTTGCTAATGTTACATAGCAGACAACATATTCATGATAACCCTATGAAATATACAATATCTCACGAGTAATGAATTTCGTAGTCTCAGAAAAGCAGGATGTTTTTATGTTCCTGATAAGAACTCAGTTTCCTTACTTAATCTCTGCATTTCTTCCTGTGCCTGCCCACGCTCTTGTGTCCCACTCTTGGTACATTTTGCCTTGGTCAGTCTGTGGGTGATTCGTCTGGACAGCTCACGTCTTGTTTTGAGGGCCACAGTGACCAGAATTAAAACAGTAACTACCCCAGCAATACTACAGAGGACAATCAGAGGAATATTATCTGCAATTGAAAATATAAACATCTTAAGCACCAAGATTATCAGATACATATGCTATGCGGTCTTGTTGCTAGAACAGTGATCCGTTTGACCAACATCCACAGTCAGCAGCATTTATAACTGCGTGTATGGTCATAAAGCTAAACAGTTACAAGATGGTTGGACGAGAAACTGTTATAAAAGTGAGTCTTACGTTTACTGTCCACTGATGCATGACTTTCCGGCTCTGTTGATCCGTTAACATTTGAGGATGCGACAGTAACAGCACCAATACCATACACGGTTGGAGTTGTCCACTCTGTAATGAAATGTACGGCCACAACATATCATACACGTTTTATTTTATCTGTTTATATATATCGATCATATCTATTCATATATATTGGCTTAGAAAACAGAATACAAATATTCACACTTTGTCGTTAAAAACCCGACTCCTCCATGATATGAAACAAATGGTCACTCATATCTTAATCGCTGAGTTCATATAAAGAATCCGCAATTAATAACGGCTACATAAATAACTGCGTTCTTCCATCTGTAAAAACAAAACTATTCCAGAAAGACTCATGCATTTACTTGGGCAATGTCGGTTGCACTGTTCTTGTCGGCCTGTCTGCTGGGCGTGTCGACACAACTCGTCACACTCCTCGCACCGCCCCACTACGTCGTCATAGTACTGTGTGGTTAGGCACAGCCTCCAGTTGACAGCATCGAGGTAACCTTTGGAGAATATGAGAACATTCGTAGCTATATTATGTCACATGTGTCTGTTCATAGTATCTGTAAGCTAGTTTATAGCATTTACATTCAATATGGAAAATATATGACTTCCATAATGATATTAGAAGCTCCGCTTCGAAAAGTCATAACATACAGCATATAGTAATCTGTGTCACATGAGTCAATATTTTAACTGTAAACAAAGCAGCGAAGTCAATTCGTCAAGCATAAAGTCATAATATTCCTTGGCGTTGGTGTGAAGAATCTTGTGCCATAGCAGTGAATCACACTCATTTAACACTGCCAATTTATAAGTGAGAAATAAATCCTACTGACACCAACACTTGCAGAAGATACAAAAATGTCATACAACAGGTAATGTCCTCTTTTCTTCACGTCTAGATACGACCAAATGTCACACTGACCTGGACACTTGTCATTGCACAAGTCAACGGTGTTTTGGACGACAACGTGTTGACAGATATCGCTACAGGGATCACAATTGCCGGTAGCGGCATCAAGGTAAAACGCCTTCCCACAGGTCGGTTTACAACTCGACTCGGCAATGAAGCATATCAGCAGAACAGAGCCGAGGAAAGACAGGTGATCAGCCATGTTGGATTTTATCCGTTTTCAAACTTGATCCAAGACGCAAAACAACTGATGATGATCACGCACGTTATGTCAGCCAGAGTGGGCACGGTGTCAGGGGCGAAGTTGTTGACTCCGTGGACGGCAGCACAAGAGTGACCAGAAGTCATTCTGTCAAGAAGGTTTTATCCAGACGTAATACGCAATTTCGGGTGGGTTTTACCCAGAGCATCAATGAAGGCGCATGCGCAGGATATACATGTAGGGTGATATACCTTCTTAACCTTTTCGTCCGGACCAATCCTCGTCCGCCAGGTGTATGTATGAGCGATATATGACTTTTAACTGAAAATAAGTGTATTATCTCATTTAGGTTCTGCGATAAAAATAATCCAGAGAACTGTACTTAATTATAGCAATATGAGTACATTTAAAAATAAAATGGTGAAATGACATTATAATGCACCTGGATATAAGACCATGTGTATGTATGAATTATTGTTGTTGACACAGATGTGTCCGTGGCAGGTATGAGATGCATATGATGTGTGTGTGAGAGAGAGAGAGAGAGAAAACGTAATTTTTATGAAAATGTATCCCGTCGATACCCATCTATTCTTAATTCCTTAAATATCCACTTTGTATATGGACTAAGATATGATAAAAAAATTTTGAATAACTGAAACAGTGACAAGGTTCAAAACAATATATATATTCACTAAAAATAATGTGGTAAACAATCACAAAGTGTGTGCAGGGGCGGAGGTTGCGGGGTTTTATGTTGACACAACTCAAGGCTTTTTCTATAACATTTCAAGAAAATTAATGCTTGAAGTATGTAATTAGTAGTATATATTTTCCCGACACTTACCCTGAATTTTTCTGTTTTTCTGTCCGATTCCTGTTGGATACTTTTGTACTTTAGATAGTTGATGACCAGTAGAAAAGGGTTTTAAATGATTATTTCATATTCCCTCTCAATAAACCTTCAAACTGATCAGTAATTATACCTAAAATCATACACGCAGAGATGATTTGGACACAGGCCCATAATTCCACCCTTCAAACATTCCAAATGCATTATACTTATGAATAACCTATAATGGTATTTAAAGGAAACTGAATGGAACAAAATTAAGAGATTTAAGATAACCGAATTGGATAATATAATATATATATTCCCTTTCAAAAGGAATAAGAATGAATTGAACATTTACTCCTGAATACTAAGTTCATGAATTAATGAATCAATTAAACTTTAAATAAATTAATTAAATAAATTAACGAAATCATATATAAGGCTGGATGCTTTCATATTTTCAAATATTCTTTCATGTAATTTTTAACCCTTGTTTGCGCCCAGTGGAACCTGTTTCGTCAGACAACAACGATGTTTCTCTGGTTTTGACGCATTTTGTTTGCACATGTATAAAAATTCTTCGTGAATGTACATTCCCGATGTTTCACGCGAAATTGTCCTGTACAGATATGCACAGCTACACACATCACAAGACATATGTTTTGCTGTTTTACACCGCACTCAATTATTTGAGTACGTAACAAGCATGGTTAGACTGTATGGCACTTCAGAATATTGTCCTCACACAGATATATTGGTGTGCCACATCAAGTCATTCCCAGGTCACTTTCGATTAACAGTGACGGTCGATGTAACAACGATTCAATAATGTAGTTGCATAAATAAGTATTTTGTATGCGGTCGTTGAAATGTTACAACATCGGCTCTGCGTATTACATCACACCACAATGAGGTGTTACTCATGTTAGGCCCGTGAATCTGTCACTTTCTCATTGGCTGAAACGTGAAAGTAGGTCATATTACATTCCCCGTGTTTGTAATAAAAATCATGGTAATGCTGAGTGGACAGACTGTTTGTCTGCTTCGTTAGTTACCAGGTATAACGTTGTGAACACGTAATGTGTTAGACTAATATAATATTTGTCTGGTCAAAACAATATATATAGTATCTATGAACTCTCACGCTTTTGTATAACCAATATTATCCATGTTTTACAACGTTTTACATTCAAAACAATTTTAATACCTGACAGGTGTGATGCAACAATTTATTGTTCCGAATCGTCAGCCATCATCTGATTCACGTTACTGGCTGACGTCACTCAGTGCAGTATTTATAAACATGTTATCAGTTGTTGTTACCTGAAAGTAGGTTAAGGGAAGAGATGTACTGTTTGTAAACACCTAGATAGTATATGACATACACATGTAGCGCTAGTTCTGTGAACGGATTCCCCTGTGGGTTCTTAATATGAACTTGACACTGACACTGAATAGAGGATTCTTATTGGCTATGACTTTTTAAACTCCGGCACGATGGGTTCATATTGATTATTCTATGAGTTTGAGTATTATGATTCTATATTTTCATTCAGGACAGGAACAGGCCTGCCCTTGCATAAATCAATTTCAAAATTTAGATCGCGGAACTTATACCATGATAAACATAGCATATTATCTACCGTTGTCCAAAGTTAATTTATTGCTTGTCAGTGCTCACACAAACATATCACAGATAGATGTATTAAAATACACATCTCGTTTTACCGATTTGGAAATAAATCCACCAATTAACTCCATCGCTTTGTTTGTAAATCGTTCAAATACGAAAGGAGCAATATATTTTCTCGTGTGTCAAAACTGTTGTATATATGGACAAAAATGTTGGAATTAATCGACGGTAATTATTCTACAAAAGTTTACCTCACTAAAAATCTCACCAACTTTCTTTTAGGCATCTAAACACTCAATGTAAGTAGTTAATCCAAACCTTGTCAGATTATATCATGATTATAATGATTTTACGTATGAGGTAGAAAATGCATTAGATATAAATCTTATAGCATTATAATGACATACTCAGTTAGCTCATTCTTGCTATATGAGGTTTAGTCCCTATATTCATAGTGTTAATCAACAAAATTTGTGCTATTAACTAAATGTAGTATAATTCTTACATTCGAGAAAATAGTAAAAGGTAAAATGTGAGCCGGGAGATATAATATTAAACAACCGTCTCCAAGTGAGTCATCATTTAAATATCTACATCATTTTCTGTGTCTCTATTATGTATAATAATAGAGACACGTAAACAAATGACATATATATGAAACTAATGACATTTTGATGCTGTTCTGTGTTGATTCCCGACTGATGTAGTAGTTAACCTGGATTCAGTCCGTAAAAGTCCTCGGTGTGAAACCAACCAACAACAAAACAATGTAATATAATTAACAATTGTATTCTAAAATTCACTAAATTTACAAATGTACACAAATCACTGAAAATGTACTACGGTTACTGCAGCTGCACAAACTAGAATGGCAGTATCTTTAACTACACACGAATGTGTTAGTGTGGTGTGTCATGCCTATAAGGTGGGAAGACTCCTGGAGAGTGAAATACAAAATCCGTGTTATATAAGGCTAGATTCATGATTTTCGTTATGGTTGCTCTCTCGTGAAAGTTCCCATCCAACAGTTACTGTTTTTTCATTTGAGAAATTTTACGAAAGTATTTTTGTTTAGATTAACACAATATCATTCAACCGTACAATTCACGCACCCAAACCAATTTTGACTCTAACATTTCATGCCTAAAAGTAAGGATTGCTGAATTGAACCAGATATTCAAAGACCTCACTATTTCACTTTTGCATACTAGCTGACAACATTGTACCTGAATAAACATTTCCAAAAGAACGTTATAAAACCCTTGGGCATTTCTCCTGCCATCTTCGAACACACAATGGCAGGCCGGGTTTTATCAGTATGCATAGAAAACACAACAATTCGTTTGAGCATGTGTCAGTATCAGTACCTTGTATCGGGTTTGTCTGCTAAACGAGAAAATACTGAAATTCCACTTGAATTTTAATTACAGTTGCACGTATGAGAAAAACAATACATGATGAAATATCGTTGTTAATGGCAGTATCTCATTTTGGATATATCAGTGAATATGGGATTTGAATGACAACATGGTATTGAATGTTTATGATATAATAACACATACTGAAGATGGACATGAGAATATATATGTTGATGAATAATTATGGCAGTATGTACATGTCAAACATGCAGATGTGATTGCCATTGCTTGGAATGATGAGATGATTAAATGTTAGACATAGACATTGACAACAGTTGTGTAGATTGCAGCAAACATCGGTTTATGGAAGATGGAGATACATCGATAGCCAATATTGAAAGGTGAGTCTCAGTGTTTAAACACTGGATGTTTGCTCTCCCATTAAGGTCTCTTCTGTGTCTGTAAGAAAAACCTTTATCGTGAGTTACGTCTTGTATGCTTCTATTTTGGAGGTATTCACAGCGTACAATGGGAGCGCTGTCGACCTGTATGTAATCGAAAACACCAAAAGCTACAATACACTGTTTAATGATAACTCGAAACATTTGCCAGTTATACAAGTGTAATCGATTCAGTTTTAATTTTAATTTAGCTGGGTGTTTATGTGCAAAATAATTTAACAGTATTATACTGACCCATATTTTGCCATCATTTTTCTCTAAGAAAAGACATAAATTGAGTGCATCAAACACACTGAAGATACTGGTGCAGGGGAGGTAACTGTGGCTTGCGATGGCTAAAACATTTCACATTCATCTTTGATATAATGAAGCTGTTTACTACATGCGAAAGTTTCCAACCTGTGATGTACATATCACAACAACATGAACCGTAACATGTCATTGACAGGTCTCGTTTTCACCAAACAAAGTATATAATAATACAGTTATGTTTCTTTCATACATGTGCAAGTCCTGCTATCATACAAGTCTAAGGTCTGATTTTCAGTTTCCCCGAAGTTGCACAAACATTTATAAATTGGTCTTAACGTGAGGAATATAATCATGTCTAATTCGTTGCATAATTCTAAAGACGTGAGATATGAAATAAGATCAGACGTTAGGATGAATTATTACATAAATACTTTAATAGCTGAAAGGTATCCAAATATATATACCATCTTCGGTCGTTTGTATGTCTCTGTTGTCATATCTGACTGGTCCTCGGGGTGTTTGTCTCTGTTTCCATCTCCAGAAGGCAACAACAGCTACCAATAGTATTACGGCCAGGAAAAATGACATCAAACAGACGATGGCAACAGCATGAGGAGAAGCTTGTATTAACAGAGATGTCATCAGATTTGTAAAGTTTCCAGTGTCATGTTCGCCTTAACACATTTGCACAATATATTGATGGTAATTGCAAAGAATTATGAACAATTTATTTTTTCAACTGCCCATTACAGTTAACAGATACTTTCTGAGGCCAAACAACTTCTCAACAACTTGATGTCATCTCATTACATGTGAGGAAAATCTTTACAGATGCTGAATAATATAGTTACCATCTTGCACCGTTATCCCATCTGGACTCACCAACGTGGCAGACGAAGACTTCAAGTTCTCAGTAACAGTGACTGCTTTCTCGTTTGCATCCTCAACTGCCAATATGTGATCAATATATTGATATCGTCATCAACGAGGAAAGCATACATTGTATCATATACTTTGCACCTTTTGCCTTAGTTGTATACAGAGAGAGAGAGAGGCAAACATGCATGCATACTTACATACATACATACATACATACATACGCACGCACGCACGCACGCACGCACGCACGCACACACACACACATACATACATACATACATACATACACACACACACATCCATAAACACACACATACACACACATCCATAAACACATACATACATACACACATACATACACACACATACATACATACATACACACATACATACATACATACACACATACATACTTACATAAACACATACATACACACACACATATACATACATACATACATACACACACACATACATACATACATACATACATACATACATACATACATACATACATACATACATACACACACATACATACATACATACACACATACACACACATCCATAAACATACACACACATCCATAAACACATACATCCATACACACATACATACACACATACATACATACACACATACATACTTACATAAAAAACACACACACACACACACACACACACATACACACATACATACATACATACATACATACATACATACATACATACATACATACATACATACATACAGTTTCGTCACACAGCTATGTTCATTTACCGGGACATAAATCTTGACACTTCTTCAACCTCCCTTGGACCTCAGCCTGGTGGCAGAGATGAGCACAGCTGCGGCAGTCTCTTGTATCACCATCGTAATAATAATCTCTTTGGCAGGCTGTAGAATCAAATCAACATTGTATATAATTGAACAAATAGAGTCTCTAGATTGATGACAGTTGATCGTCAGTGCTCAGAGTATTGGTCTTTGTAACATTGATATGATCACTGAAGACGCCACAATTGCCTGCTGACGGATCAAGAACCTTGTCGCTACTCGTGATAAGACATGACAGTCGTATGAAACTTCGTCGTTGCCGTTAATCGTGTGTGTTATTCGTGTGGAAGCAGTCTGTGCACATTCATAAATCACATGCATACATAAGACGTTTGTTTCCGGAAACACTACCCTACATTCACCATCACTTGGAGGCAACATGTATGTTGAAGATTGTAATGACGCAAGTAGTGTTACGAGAAAAGATACAATGCGAGTGTACGAGCAATGTGTTCAGTACCTTTCATGATCCACCCATTACCGCCTTATTTAAATAACCCGCTACACGCAGGGAGCGGTCATTACATAGGACGTGCCCTGCGATGGTCTCTGTTTGTTTTCAGTAATTCACAGCATATATGTAGCTGTTTGTTTTGATGATGTATACTATTGAACCTTAGTAATTTTAGAATGAAATATAAGATTAGGACAATGGAGAACTGTGACAGGTTTTGTAAACCATCACTGTGCACTCTCCCCAGCTGTGGAGAAGTCAGTCTGACACACATCCAGCTGTGTTTCTTCCGGTTGTGTGTTCTGTCATAGAACAAGCCACTCGACATTGAACCCCTTTTCAATGTGTTCATGCAGATATTCAGAAAGACTCTCTCGGGTAAATCAGTTTCTGTCAGTTGTTGTGTCCTTTTATATGTCCCTAAATCTGTACAGCAGTCATCATGCGTCAATATTAAAAAAAATGTGTGAATAGAACGCCAACGCTATGGAACACCCAGTCTCGATAATCCGACGAAATAAAATTCCATTGGGCGTCCACTGCAAAACATGGCTGAAAATTCAATGAATGAATGAAAAGATTCGCAACCCAAACAGTGGATTATAATGCAGGTTTTTATTTCGTTCGATGTGTTTATGTTTCATTAAATATGTATAATCAGTAAATATGTAAATTTACTGATTCCGTCAGGGATTATGTATATTTACTGAAATTATCAGGAAATACCATATTAACTGAAATCTGCACTGATTCATTATACATATTTATTGAAATCAAGATCAACTGCAACATGTTCTTGATCAAACTTAACAAGTGCATTAGTGAGTAAGTGAGTTTAGCTTTACGCCGATTTCAGGCAATATTCCAGCAACATTACGTCAGGGGGCACCAGAAATGGGCTTCACATATTGTACCCATGTGGGGAATCTAACCCAGGTTTTTTGAGTGACGACTGAAAGCTTTAACCACCAGGCTACTGGGTGCACTTTACGGATGTACCATAAATTACATTTTATAATCTAAGAGACAAGTTGTAACTAACAGGACATTTGTGCCCTAGGCTTCAAATGTAAGCAACAAAATATTTCATATAAAATATATAAATATATATGAACATAACGTCAATACAACCATCTTGACTGTCCTTAGAAACAGATTCTATCTGACGGAAAGGTCGATATAGATGTGAGAAGTATCTGAATAGTCAACTGAAAATCAGCCTTGATACCAGGTGTCTGCGTGGGGTGTCTCTACTCAAAGTCGCATCATGTGTTTATGAATCACGTTTCACTTAATACAGTAATAATTTCCCCGTATATGCATTGTTTTGCTATATATATGGCGAAATCGTTGGGTCCATATCTGGACCCGGCGAGATAACCCAAAACGTCCGGGCTCCAAGCGGGGAAGATAACCGATATCTGGTTCCTCAATTTTGTGCTCGACGTCATGGAATGTAACACAATAAAATGACGTCATGTATTCCTTGACGTCAGATTTAGTTGCTCCTTTGATTGGCATTCTTGAAGTTGGGTAGATGAAGAATGGGGACTATTTTTATGGATATACAACTTCTTTATTCTAAATAGGCGATGTTTCGATATAGATTCTAATGTCGTTGTCAAGCAAGTGATACATGGGAAGTATTTTGGGTGATATATATACATGAGATGTTTGTACAATAGATGAGGGATGAGGCGAAAATGAGTTGGTTAGACAATAGAATAGGTTGATAACACAGGATTAAGTAGGTTGGTAGGAAGCCAGTAAAGAACATGTACATAGTTGTATACATAAGGGATAAAGGATGTTGATGGGCAGCCAGTAGGAAATGATATACATAGGTTGTTTACATAAGTGGTAAAGGGACTGTTGGGAAGCTAGTGGTGAAGTGATGTTTACACAATAGATGTACAATAGATAATGTACAGTGTTACACAATGGATAATGTACAGTGCTACAAAAGGGATAACGTACAGTGTTACACACTAGATAATGTACAGTGTTACACACTAGATAATGTTTAGTGTTACACAATGGATAATGTACAATGGTTGAGTAGGGTTACATGAAGTTAATTGAGCAAGTGATGATAGGCCTTGGGGGTGAAATATCCTTAATCTCTGTTAATGGCTGAGCAAATCTTCTTTATGTGGACAGCTTCAAGTAGTTTTCGGGTTTTGAAATCAGGCTAGTTCCTTTCGATGACTTTGGTGGTGTTCCAACTGATGTTGTGGTTCGGGTTGGCTTTAAGGTGGTCGGTTATGGCGGATATGTTTCTTACTGAGTCCTGGGGTTCTTTGATCCTAATGGTGACTGGTCTTGATGTTTCATCAATATAGGATTCGCCTCAGTCCCATTCTATCTGGTTTAGATTTAGTTGCGGCAAACTTTGGCAGGTGATCGGACGCTAGCGTCGCTTTCCAGTAGATTGATGAAACTGAATGAATAAGTGGAACGGGGGAAATTCCTTCGGATGAATTCAATGAGCCGAAGTATGTTGAAAGTATGAAAAAAGAAAATACAAGAAGAAAAACGGAGTATAATGTGAAGATGCTCAACACCTGGCTGTTATCGGAGAAGGGGATCGTGAAATTTTGCAAATCGACGCGAAAGTATTGGACCCGTATCCGACATGCTTATGTTTCGTCAGCAAGAAAAACTGTACGTTTTCAGTGTTTGAGTCAAATATTTTTGCAATGTATAAAGGTTTTTAAAAATGATAGATTCTTGCTTGGTAAGTATTAAGTGATAACAAATATTATCACCAAACATCGTTTGTAAGTGACACATCAAATGTGGCTAAGCATTCTTTAATTTCTCTGGTATGAGGCCTTTGGCAGGTTATAATTCTTTTTGTGTATCGCATAACAATATGTGCACTAATATCAATCACAGCCATGCTTGAATCATTCTTAATATACGAAATTTTCGAAAACTCACAAGGAACTAACCCTCATCCCTACTGGCTGACATTGGTTGGTCAGCCTTATGACTTGTTTCATTATGTATGCTTTCTGTATGGGATGTTGTTTATGATATTGTTTAGTGCAGGCCATTTACAGGCTGTCCAGAAAGGCCTTGAAATTTGAGTGTGGCATTTCACGGTGTTTTTTGTAGATTGGTAGTAATATACCATGTTGTGCGGGGGGTGTCGTTGTGTTTCTTTTGTATTTCGAAGGATGGGATTGCTCTTTTCAGGAGCACAGCAAGCGCCATGATTGAAATCAAGATGATCAGAACAGACAGAATAACGACCGCGTATTGTGCTCCGGGGGAACTATCTGAAAGAAAGAAAATTATAATGATTAAATTTTAGAAATGGAAAACACTCGAATGTCACTGATACTGAATATATAGTCAAACATCATTGTGTCGACCTTTAATGTGCCGAACTGCGTATTTCCAATACACTCTCAAATTGTGTCGAACCTTGGATAACTTGGAGTATTTACGTAGTGTCATTCAACTTCCACACACGTGTTTCATTCTATATACATTTGGGAAGATGGTGTGAATATAATATTCTGGGAAACCCCTTTCAAAGGGGAGAAATTGACAATCGATACTTGACATTTTTAATTACAAGTAATGTAAAAAAAAAGCTCCTGGCTTTGTGGAGGGAATCTCATCTGGGACATTAGGATAATGATCCACCTATGCTTCAATCAGGGACCATGCTGCTCATCTATAGTTTTAATGTACTTGATATGTACAAGACAGAGACAGAGCAAATACATGCTAGTTTTGTTCAAAAACATAGATACAGTTGAATGAATCACAGAGTTGCGTCACTTTAAGTAGCATTAAAACACTGTCTAACAACAGTTTTCATAGAGGTAACATATGCTACATATATATAGTTTGTTTGCAGTGAAAAAGAACCGATGAATTTCACTTTAAGCGAAAAAGTAAATTGAATAAAGTGAAATTAAGCTTGCGAATCCTCATAATTTTACCTAACCAATTGAACATGTAATTATCAGAATTTTATTCAACTTAGGATAAAAGTTGTTTAACAAACGATCATAGATTCAAATCGCTATTATTGGTTTGTATTACATGGGGTAAGCGCAGCATTTGGAATAGTGAAACAAATGCACGTACTGTACTTGATAAGCTTTAACTTAGACCAAACCAGCTTGTTGTCTGAGTTTCATTTAATGTGCTTATCCCCTTGTAATACAAATCAATAATAGCGATTTGAAAATACAGTGTATCCTCGTTTGTTAAAAAACTTTTATCCTAAGTTAAATAAGATTCTGAGGTTTAAATGTTCAACTGGCAAGTAACACTTATGAGAATTCGCAATCTCAGTTTCACTTTATTCGATTTACTTTTTTGTTTAAGGTGAAATTTTCACTGCTAACAGACTATTGGGTTATTAATGACAATGATTGTAGAATGCATACTAATTGGCAAATCTGATCCTATAATGAATATACATCAACTGCAAAACATGTTACTTTCTATACCCACATTTGAACATCAACTGCAATTCCAAGTAGGCATATAATTAATACTAGGCATTTGTTTCATTTTTGTCTCCAGCTTTATTTTTGTCGGACACTCTGAAAGATATATACTTGTTGCCTTCAGTGCAAATTACTGCAGGATCGAAATGCACGTTTTCTTTTAGGATTGTTTTACTTACCACTGCTCAGGTTGATGGTTGATTGCTCGTAAGCAGGTGTCACAAAGTGTGTGACCTGATCAATCGGTACATCCGTGACAGGCGCTCCGACACCGACTGAAACGCATGAGCCATTTATGGAATGACCACACATGAAGATTGAAATAAAGTGCAGTGTTATCCTCACAAATTCAAGTTTATAATGCATGATACATGAAATGCATTTACTACAAAGTGTGTGATTACTGTAGAAATAGATTCATATATTTCATGTAAATACCTTTGTGTTCTGAAAATGGAAATACATTTTATTCTAAAGAAGTATCGGTCTTAAGGTGTCATTTTCAGTGGTTTCATTCTGTTATTTACATTTTTTACAATACCTGGACAATATTTTCGACAAAGTTCGACCGTCCCTCTGACAGTAGCTTGGTGGCATAATTCATCACAAGGTTGGCATGTCCCAGACACTGGTTCCAAGTAAAAGTCGTTTGAGCACTTCGACATCTTCGACATACCTCTTCTGGTTCACACTGCTGATTAAAGACAGACTGTAGATAAGGGACGCCATGATTGATTTATCATTATTTGCATTTTAAAAGAATAAAGGTTATGTTTTGTCTTTTGAAACAGAAACAATATTCTGTCACAATTATCATAACTGTCCTATGAAAATATAATCATATTGAATTTACTTTTCTTTAACAAAGTATAGCCGATAGAATTATACAGTTAGGGACTGAAATTGGACAATATGTACTACTCAAAAAGACTGAAGAACAACTGATTATTATAAATTTATCTGTCCTGACATTGAAGGCGTTATTAGGCGTCTTTTGAGGAGCATTTATGGTATGGTGCAACTGTCTCCTGAGTTGCAATTCGCTGTGTGTCCCTTTATAAGTCAGAAATTTATGATCGGTGGATAATATTCCAACCTCGAAATCTGATCATGTTTCAAGGTTTCACCAGCACCGTATATGTTCTCGAGGGTTTCACCCAAGGAACAAACGCAACGGACCTGCATCGGATGGTGCTTACTTCTTACGCCATGATATAACTGGAATATCACTCACTCACTCCAACCCCCCAAAAACAACACACACACATGCGCGCACGCGCACACATACCCACAAACACACTCACTCCGCGCTATTTTCGCGGATTATCTTTCCACTCTACCCAGGTGACCTTTGGAAGTGACGTCGACGTCACCACTCTTACTGTTAATTTTCCATAGAACGTCTCTTGTGTGTGAATCTGATTAGACAAGTTTTGTCGTTCTTTCGGATGAATAGAACAGATCTTGTATTTTTATTAATGAATGTCACAAAGATATATGGCCGAATGTATCATTTCATAAGTTATAACATAAATCAGTTTATGACGTCTAGGCATCGACTCTCTACAGCAATAATTCGCTCAAATGGCAAAACAACATTTGTGTAGTACTAAAGTGTAGACTTCTATAGTCTGTACTGTAGAGTATGTGTAGATCGTAGTTGTACTTTCATTTTATATTGTCATAACTTGTACCTTGTCCACTTCATATTGAACAAAATAGGTTAAAACTAAGACAAAGTATCAATAAATGTCTGATTAATCGAACGTATAAAACGGTTTCTACTCACCAGTATGTCTGTCGTAATACCAACACATCTTTCAGTGACTTTGGTATTCCCTATCATTATGACTAAAAGGAAGCTGACATCACCGGAAAACCTGACTCACTGCACAATATGTCCATATAGGTTTGGTGACAGTACTGCCATATTAATTCCTTTGTAGCTATTTGTATCGATTTTGTAAACTTCGTTAATTATGTAAGACAATAATTGTTAAGTATATCAAATCTTTTTGTTGTTGGTAGTTGTTTTTTTCACAGATTGATTCCTGATCAACTTTTAGTTTCAGCTTGGGGGTCGACACATAACAGTCAATTAATAACAACGCCAAACCCTTTGGAAAATCCATGGCTGTATAGTCATGACTAGTACAAGCTATTAAATGGTATTGAACGCGTGAAGATCCGTGTTAGATTATTTCTTCCCATGTTTGTCGTAAGAGACGACTAACGGGTCAAGCTCGCTGACTGGGTTGACACATGTCATAGTATCCTAATTGTGAAGATTGAAGGTTATGATGTCAATCACTGGATTGTCTGGTCCACACTCGATTATTTACTGACCTTGCAAATTGCTGAGTGCGGTGTTATACAACAAACAAGCATTAAATAGAATGATATCACGAAAAGGTGGCTTCTTCAAAGTATTTGGATTTCTTTTATTAATACACTTTCATTAACCTAACTTGCTGCATTTGACTTCATATTAATATTTTCCACACTGAGTAACCACATACATTATATTTTACCAACTTCACACACGTGTCTTCATGTATTGGGTTTTACCAAATATTTAATATTCTGTTACAAACATATATGACAATAAGGAAGCAAAACAGCACTAAACATTTGTATGGACCGCTGAAAATTAGTGATAACATCGGGTGTTCGCGAAGGAAGTTGCCCCTACCGATAGCAACCGCTACTTGCAGAATTTGGTGTACGAAAACAAGTGGCTCTTACTTGAAACCCATGAACTTAGGTACGGTGCTAAAAAAACTGTCAACATCTTGAAATCGATTCACGACTGCAGGTTTCATAGGTAAAGGAACGCAACTGTAGACTGCAAGTGATTGTACGAGTGAATCAAGTTCCGTGCAGTGTACACAGAGGGCATACATTGCGGAAGTAAGATTTGTATAAACGTATTGTCGTTGAGATCGAATTCTACCACAAAACACCCGGTTTGATCAAATTATAGTTTACTTATATGGTAATTCCAGTCAGCTTGTTTACTGCCGTCGATCAAGGGCATGAAGTAATTTAGTTGTGTCGGGAATTATTTCAATCATTAGCATGATACTTAGTTCTATCTAGATGGGTGTCCATGTCTCACACTGTTTTTCTCAAATTTTTCTTCTCTGAATCACCAACCTACGTACCAGTATTACACCCAAGAGACACAAAACTAGGTACTTTGGATGTGATCATGTTCAGCTAATATCGGATGCCTAGTCATACTACCAATGTATTGTCAACATTACGCATGCCCGTAGTCTAAAAGTATTAGTAAACTGGAGTGTCCCACCATGTATTTGTTGATCACTGTCCTTCCTACAACAGCCAAGAATGTGTCGTAAAATCTATGTACGTATCAGATCTGTTCTTTTCCTCTATACAATGAACCAAAACATGTGACTACATCAGAATATTAAATGATAACAAGCAGCAACCACATAACAGCAGTAGGTGACGCTGTTTTAGAATGTAAGCTGCGTAGTTGGAGTTTCCGGCAAGTTCACTTCCCATTCTATATATAGTGAGTCAGCCGCCGACATCAGATATTCTGTTTGCTTAAACCGAATGGGTAAGTTTAGTTTTACGCCTCTTTCCGCAATATTATGTGAATATCACGGCGGGGGACACCAGAAATGGGTTGCACACATTGTACCCATGTGGGGAATCGAACCCGAACCCGACAGAACGCTTTTACCACTAGATTTCCCCACCAACCCTACAAGCTATATGAGATTCTCTCAAGGTTTTCGTACTCCCATTCCTCATCTTTGCTCAACATGAAACAACCCAGGCGTTTTGTAATTTATTGGCTCATTTGACAAACAATATTACATGGTTGAAGATCAAAGTCAAGAGTAGAAAGATTGATAACTCTTTCCTTCCTATGTCGCTAGCCGCTAAAACATTTTCATATCAAAGGTCCGTGAAGCATTTGCATGCGATGACGGTAGTTTGTGGTATAAGAGTGTCGATGTCCGTTAGAGCTTTTTGAGAAATGGATGGGGGTGCTCAGTTCATTTTCACCCTTTTTCATAGAGTTTCATGGCCATTTAATAATCTTTCAGGACGAAAGAGGGGGTGTCCACACCCCTGCACATCCCCCATCCCCCGGATCCGCCTATGTTGTGATACGTGGCCATTTGACTTGCCTTTACATCTGTTTGTGCCGAGTTCTACTGGTTTGACAGGATACGCTCACCCTTCGCAATCATCTGATTGATAAATTCCCCAGACAATACTAGGTAGAACCGGTCTTTTGCAATTAAGCTCGAAGCGACTAACGGGATCGCGTGGTAGGGCTCTCTTTGATGCATCCCAATTACTTAGATTGATGTTCATGATGTCGGTCACTCGAGTGTCTGATCCAGACTCGATTATTTCAGACTGCCTTTATATATCATATAGCTAGAAAATTTGCTGAGTGCGACGTTAGCAAACAACAAACTCCTTGCAAAGCCGAAATCGCACAAGCGAATGTTTTGCCGTTGTTAATTCCCTTGGACATTTCTACCAGAATCAGACATCAAAAAGAGGATAACTTGACTGAAAATAGGATGCTTTGAATTTCAAAACTGCCATCATCTCCAACAATAACTCTAAGCCTCGTCCCATGTCCTACCCAAAAGATAGTTTTACTGGGTGATATCCAATCCCACGTAAAAACTAGAAACTTTGATAGTACACCCTTCCTCCCAGGAGTGAGTGAGTTAAGTGTTTAGCCGCTTCAGCAATATTGCAGCAATATCACGGCGGGGGACACCAGAAATGGGCTTCACACATTGTACCCATTTGGGGATTCGAACCCGGGTCTTCGATGTGACGAGCGAACGCTGTAATCACTAGGCTGACCCCACCTCCCCTTTCTCCCTGGAATCACGCAATTCCGCTAATCAACTGTACAAACATCTCAGGGTGTTATGTGTGTATAACATGATTTCCTGGGATGATTTATCTGTTTTGTAACGAACACACATATCGAGAGAACATACACATTTTATTCTACCTGGGACACACATTACAACTACATGCAAACAGAATGCAAACATTATAGAGTCTAAACAACTAAGAAACCATAACTACAAATGTTAATATAAAGAAAACACCTACATCCATTCTATCGTTTTATGCATGACATTAAGATTATGTAGCATTGTTCTGTGCTCAACACAATTATCTCAGTCTGCTCATAGAACCAAACAAAAACGATACAATGTTTGTCATGGCTGAGCTCTGTCGGTTGTACAGTATGCATTTGGCGATGTGCACTCTTATAGTACTACTATGTACCGATGGACATGACGCATACTCTCAAGCAGTCCTTTCTGTCATTTCTCTAGTTCATGCAGTCCTTTCTGTCAATTCTCTAGTTCAATCATTTTATTCTTCGTCTCTCCTCGGGCGCCGCTGTCCTTCTTCGTGTGATCTCGTCTCTCGCGAGAGTATTTGTCTTCCTGGCATCTCGACTTGATTATCTTGCCACTGAGGATCGTTCCAACATATCTTTCAAGTGTTCTGTCTTTAAATTGTCTTTTTCAATTCTTTTTCTTCAAAACGTTTTAATTTGTCTATCCCATCACACGTCTTCAATGGGTGTAGCAATAGGGCCACGTCCCGGTCTGTATATGGGATCTGAAATTAAGAATATGAGATTACATACCGGTTCTCTACTACAGCATACATTTTTCATGGTTCAGCACCAAACCGACTGAAACATTGAAGTAGATTTGTATAAACATGGGTGATCGTTTATGAAATTTTAAATGAATTTATAAAATTGAAATATTTGTGAATCCATTCTCTTAATACTCACTGAGGCTCTCCCTGATCTCGGGGTCTTCTTCGACCTGTGTAGGGTGCCTGGTAAATATATGTCGTGAAACAAACGATTTAATGTTGCCAACACAACCTCTTCCAAACACAGCCGTCACAGCAACCAGTCCCAACGCACATACAACCAGGAAGCCAACTCCTATCCAAACACCAGTTGTTAAGGATGCATAGTTGCTTTCTGGAAGAAACAAATACAACTTGTAATATTGAAGCTTTGCATCACCATAAAGCGAAACTGATGGGAACTATAAAGATTTGCTGTTTTAGGGTTTCTTGGCCGTTGGAGACAATATTGACCTCATTCTACAGTGAATATGTGAAATATGGTAGCTGTGGTGTGTCAGTGTGATACTCAATATAACAGCACATGTTGAGGAATCAGTTGTGTGAAACAATATACTAACTGAAACACTCCTACTCACATCACCTAGTCACCCAGAATACCAGTATTAACTGTTTGGTCCCTTATACAAGTCTAAAGCTTCGATGTAGATGGTCTAAATAATTAAAAAAATAATTCATAATTGATGCTGCTACAAACGACAGATCAGACATGCTTTAACATAACCAAATATTTGAATCACAATGGAACAAAATGTTGTGGGTCAAAAGCCCATGCAAAAATTGCTTTTTTTCGGTCGGACACATAAATTCTCAGAGAAATGGGCCTATGAGGGTGCAATGATATAAAAGAATAATGGAAAGGGTGTAACGTAATTTACCAGTTTCTGGGCTTCTCTCGGCAGTGTAGGCTGAGACATTTGCTGGTAAAATCACCTTTGGCTCTGTGTGGGAACTTGTCGAGGATGTATTCTGGTCGGACCAGTCTGAAATATTGTAGAATCACAATAACAGGTTGACTCATTCATTACACTCAAAGACCTATTAGCAAAACGATCAACATGTATGGTCCATTAATCAGTTTTCAAAATATACATGTATGACAACCTAAAGAAGGAATACACACATTGAACAGATGAACGTATGGCTGAAATACTGACGAAATGACAGTTAAGTTGAATACAATGACTTCTTACCTGGACAAAGCCTCTGACAGTCGTCTCGACGTGCGTGTGGAGGGAGGCACAGAGATCTACAATGTTCACATCTGTCCACATTGACATCGTAGAAATGTTGTACAGGACACTGGTGATGGATGGGCTTGTACCCTGAAACAACATTAGAATTGAGTTATTAGTATACGTAATCATTTTAGTAGGGTACAGATCTTAACCTTTGTGGATCGGGTGAGACTAGATGGATTGATAGAGAAATATTATGTGTGGACAAACTGATATTCCAAATCATTAATCAAGCAACAGGATTGATGTTAAACATAAACTGGGAATGTAGCCTGTAATTTAATGTATATTTCAAAATACCTATCCCATTAACGCGTCCCATGATGACTTCTGTGTTAAAAAATGCGATGAGTGAGTGAGGGGAAAATGTTAAAAGCCGCATCAACAATTTTGCAGCTATTCGCGGCAAGAAATACATTTTGTATAATACTATATACTATGGATACAAATAAGAATGATCGTGAAATTTAATAAAAAATTACAGGCAAATATCACATTCAAAGAGAAAAACTTGACTACTGAGATAAAATAATTTTCAGTATTCATTATTCTATATTTTGTATAATTTGATTTCTTTTAAATAAACTAAATTTTATAAATGGTGAAAAATTCGATGAGGATCGATGTGCTTCAAGTGGTGGTACATTGATCCGTTTAACTACAAACGTCACACCTTCTCGAATAGTCATTCAAGAACGACAACTCTGCCAAAGTGTTCAGACACCCGATACAAGGAAGTTATTCCGTTACAAAAAGACATATATATGGGACTGCCCTATATAACAGTTTCAACGATATTGCTTAATTTTCACTCTAACGAATTTAATAAAGCCCGGTAAAGTTTCAGTGTCAAACTCGATTCGAACGTTATGGACTGAATCATACACGTCAGCTATATCTGAAACACCATTATATATCCGACGGTGAAAAGGAAAATATTATTGCTTCACTCACCTGGACACATATCCCGACATCTTGTCACTGTTCTCTGTGCCCGAGTAAACTCACAGATGTCACTACAGGGATCGCAGTTACCTGTGGCAGGGTCCAGGTAGCTCACACCTGGGTTACAGATGCTGCTTGCCCCCAACAACGACGGTAATGCAAGTCCCACAAATACCAAAACACATCCTTGAACTGTTGAAGTATAGCTTACGAACATGGTGGATACAAGCCAAATCCGGGACTGTTTTCTTCCTTTTATAGAAGTTGCTATAGAATAAGCTGAAATACAGTCCTGTGAACGACCGCGACCCTTGCCTATACTGATTCATGTCGTGTAGGTAAATTTCTTAAATACTGACGAAATCCTCTCGAAGGTTCCAGAGCCTTCGGTGACTCGAAAACAAGTGTCGTCACCGGATGTTGTGAAATATCGACTATTTTTAGAAGGGAATTCCCCTGCACTTGACTACTCAAGTCGGGTGCTGCAGTGTGTACCGTTAGTCATCGGCTGTCACTGCGCTGGGTATACGTATGTTGCAATCTCCTGTTGTGAACGTATAAACATTAAGTCACGAGGGGACGTCTATTACAGTTATGAGCTAGGATGACTGGACTATGTGTCGCCAACCATAACAAAAGCTACGCCAGCTAAAAACATTGTTACCTGACAGCATTGTAAACATGAATATGCTCACCCGCTAGGTGAAGGTCAACGAGCTGTTCAGACTGATAGGGGCTAGTCACAACTGGTTATTCTTATACAATGACGTTGTATATTTATATTTAAATGCATAAACCATGGCCATGTATATAAATAATCTTGTTTATCACCACTTTTTAAAAAACATATGATTTTATTTTTACATTTTATTTTATTATATGTCCAAAAACCCCTGATTTATATGAAAATTTACACCATTTCTCCGATAAGAAATCAAAACCTAGAAGTTTGAAAAGTACATGCACAATCTGAGAGTCAAAGTTGCATTTTCTCAAGTGTAAAAAATATATTTTAAAAATGTTAGGGTCGGGTCGAAATTTTGGGTCGGGCGGTAATGAGAAACAAAAATATTTTTCATCGTCACGGTTTATACAATTCAGTGTAAATATATAATGTCATTGCAGAATAATACCTAGTCATGTCAATCCACCCGAAACAGATTACATGTGCATGCAAACACAATGGGGCCATGACGCTTGGAAATAATTTACACACAAGTATCAGTGCGGCACAACCTTGTGGCGAAATATAATACTTTAGTTTTTCTGACAGAGTTATTTTTGATAAGCTATATATATGATTGTGATATTAACAACTGGGTTCTACGTTCTCTCTGATATTTGATATCATATTTGAATTTAATAATACCCCGGCACTACCTTCAGTATGTCTCACCCGGCACTACGTTCAGTCTGCCTCACCATGGCCCTACGTTCAGTCAGCCTCACACCGGCACTACGTTCAGTCAGTATCACCCCGGCACTGCATTCAGTCTGTCTCACCATGGCACTATGTTCAGTCTGTATCACCATGGCACTACGTTCAGTCTGTCTCACCCCGGCACAGCATTCAGTCTGTCTCACCATGGCACTATGTTCAGATTGTCTCCCCCCGGTCTCCCTCACCCTAGAACAACGTAGCGGTCTGTCTCACCCCGGAACTACGTTCAGTCTGCCTCACCATGACACTACATTCAGTCTGTCTCACCCCGAGACAACATTCAGTCTGTCTCATCATGGCACTATCTTCAGTCGGTCTTACCCTGACACTACGTTCAGCCTGCCTCACCCCAGCACTATGTTCAGTCTGTCTCACCCTGGCACTACATTCAGTCTGTCTCAAGCCGGCACTACGTTCAGTCTGCCTCACTTGGCACTATGTTCAGTCTGTATCACCCCGGTACTACGTTCAGTCTGTCTCACCATGGCACAATGTGCAGTTTGTCTCACGCTAGCACTACGTTCAGTTTACCTCACTCTGGCACTGCGTTCAGTCTGTCTCACCATGGCACTAAGTTCAGCCTGTCTCACCCCGGCACTACGTTCAGTCTGCCTCACCCTAGCACTACGTAGCGGTCTGTCTCACCCCGGCACTACTTTCAGTCTGCCTCACCTCGGCACTGCATTCAGTCTGTCTCACCATGGCACTACTTTCAGTCTGCCCAACCCCGGCACTACGTTCAGTCCGCCTCAACCAAGCACCTGTTCAGTTTGTCTCAGCCAGCACTACGTTCCGTCTGCCCCACCCCGGCACCTATTCAGTCTGTCTCACCATTGCACGATGTTCAGTCTGTCTCACCCCATCACTAGGTTCAGTCTGTCTCACCATGGCACTATGTTCAGTCTGTCTTAACATGGCGCTATGTTCAGTTTGTCTCATCCCGGCACTACGTTCAGTCTGCCTCACCCCGGCACTGCATTCAGTCTGTCTCACCATGGCACTACGTTCAGTCAGACTCACCCGAGCACTACGTTCATTTTGTATCACCCCTGCACTACGTTCAGTCTGCCTCACCCCGACACTACGTTCAGTCTGCCTCACCCCGGCACTACGTTCAGTCTGTACCAACCTGCACCACATTCAGTCTTTCTCATCCCGGCACTACATTCAGTCTGCCCCACCCGTCACTGCATTCAGTCTGTATCACCCGGGCACTACGTTGAGTCTGTCTCACCCGGCACTGCATTCAGTCTCTCTCACCCCTGCACTACGTTCAGTCTGTCTCACCCCAGCACAACATTCAGTCTGTCTCACCATGGCACTATGTTCAGTCTGTCTCACCATGGCACTATGTTCAGTCTGTCTCACCATGGCACTATGTTCAGTCTGTCTTACTCTGACACTACATTGAGTCTGCCTCACCCGTCACTGCACTCAGTCTGTATCATCCGGGCACTACGTTCAGTCTGTCTCACCCGGCACTGCAATCAGTCTCTCTCACTATGGAACAAAGGTCAATCTGTTTCACCCCAGCACAATATTCAGTCTGTCTCACCATGGCACTATGTTCAGTCTGCCTCACCCCGGCACAACGTTCAGTCTGCCTCACCCCGGCACTACGTTCATTCTGTATCACCCCTGCACTACGTTCAGTCTGCCTCACCCCGGCACTACATGCAGTCTGCCTCATCCCGCCACTACGTTCAGTCTGTCTCATCCCGGCACTACGTTCAGTCTGTCTCATCCCGGCACTACGTTCAGTCTGCCTCACCCGGCACTACGTTCATTCTGCCTCACCCCGGCACTACGTTCATTCTGTATCACCCCGGCACTACGTTCAGTCTGTACCACCCCGGCACTACATGCAGTCTGCCTCATCCCGGCACTACGTTCAGTCTGCCTCACCCCAGCACTACGTTCATTCTGTATCACCCGGCACTACGTTCATTCTGTATCACCCCGGCACTACGTTCATTCTGTATCACCCCGGCACTACGTTCAGTCTGTACCACCCCGGCACCACATTCAGTTTGTCTCACACTAGCACTACGTTCAGTCTGCCTCACTCCCGCACTACGTTCATTCTGTATCACCCCGGCACTACGTTCAGTCTGTCTCATCCCGGCACTACGTTCAGTCTGTATCACCCCGGCACTACGTTCAGTCTGTATCACCCCGGCACTACGTTCAGTCTGCTCCACTCCCGCAGCACGTTCATTCTGTATCACCCCGGCACTACGTTCAGTCTGTGTCAACGCGGCACTACGTCCAGTCTGTATCACCCCTGCACTACGTTCAGTCTGTCTCATCCCGGCACTACATGCAGTCTGTATCACCCCGGCACTACGTTCAGTCTGTATCACCCCGGCACTACGTCCAGTCTGTATCAATGTCTCATGAAGTACCTTGGCTTCGTCAACCCGTGAAGGTCCGGGTTAGAATGTGCCTTCAGTATCCAATGCTTGTCGTAAGAGGCGACTAACGTAATCGGGTGGTCAGGCTCAAGACTTACTTGACACATGTCATCGGTTCACAATTGCGCAGATCGATGCTCATGTTGTTGATCACTGGATTGTCTGGTCCAGACTCGATTATTTACAAACCGCCGCCAAATAGCTGGAATATTGCTGAGTGCGGCGTAAAACTAAACTCACTCACTCACTTGGCTTTGTCAGTTCGCTTAATAAGAACATTTATTTTCACATTTTTGAATTGACACCTTCCTAAGCATGTATATGCCATATTTCAGATTTTATATGGATTTGCCACGAAACCCAAACTGCAGAGTGTTAAGGCTGGTTTACACATCGATCTAGTCCATCTGGTCACGATGCTCTGATCACAGTTGCACCTTGGCCATGCATGAGACTCGGTGATTACAAGAGGTATGCTGACAATGGTAGAAGACATACAATAATGAGCGAACTGCTTGCAAGGATTACGTAATACCACAGAGCGACATTGAGTATTCCAGGTATTGTTAAAACAGAAACGAAAACGTATCTATCGATCATGCAGAGCCGAACAGTATCATTGCGCGAGAGGAGGGAGTAGAGAACATTGGAAGTAGCAGAATGGATATCGATCAAGAACTGGGTACATGACTGTCGACAAGCCAACCGGTAAGTTTCTCGTCTTTCCCATGCCATGAAAGTCTTTATTGTCTGTATTCCTTGCCAAAACATTCATTCTAAGCTGAAGCCGACATCGTCGCAACGAAAATACCACGGTTAATTATTACATATCTGAGTACATAAAACATAACAATTTTAGTAAATGTGACCAGTCTCGATCTACAAAATAACTGACAGTGGAAGGAGGAATTCAGACAGAGACGGAAATACCATCATCAAATATAATGTTGTTGTCATGGATTTCAATGCCATGGCCATTGTGGTTACTTCATTATGTAAATGAAGTATTATGTAAATGCGCATGCGTCAATACATGGAAAAGGCAGCAATCGATCGACAGCACAGCGGCATCATTCAAGAGTAGAAAATGAAACGTTTAGACATCATATTTTCGGCAGTTATCGTCTACGAATTGAATTATCATCTGAAAAGACGACCAATACCTTGGTAGCACATGTATATTACTACACAGGGTCCAAATCCACACAACGTTCGTAGCACTACGACATTCGTAAGCCTAAATAAACTATGACTATGAGTCCCCTGCATTCAACATTTCCTTTATATCGAGCAATATTCCAACAGCTCCAGCCTTTAGTGTGGACATTTCACAACTTTAAGGTACAGCCGAGCGTCTTCTCTGCATCAGGATTTCAGAGACGGTCATGCCTCTCTTGCCCAGAAGTTGTTTGATGAGGGTTACAACATAAAATGCCTCAGTAAAACTTTCAAGACGTTTTATGGTGGACATCTGAAGGAAATTTCAATATTTGATGCATCAGTCGGATGCGGATTGTTTGGAAACCTGTCATTCTTTAAATGGGGGGTTGGGGTTGGGGGTTCTTACCATTGAATATTTGCTCATAAATATAAATGAGAATGTTGTTCCATAATCATTAATCTCTGCTGAAAGTGAAGTAAGTTGTACGATTCATACCGTTCTAGCAAAGGATCGGTGCTCAGATCCACAGATAACTGTTTTGTTTCGTGATGTCTACGTGATGAATCTGAATGGTATGTTTTGTTCCTGTCAAGTGACATTAATATATTAATGTGACCAGTTTCAGTGTATTTCATGGCACCTTCCCTCATAATCTTGCACCATCTAACGAATCGCAGTTGTCAGTAGGTGTATGTTCTAATCTAATCTCCTCTGGAACTGAAGGGAAGATGACGATGTGTTCGAAAGACTTCTACAGGGACGAAGAATCTGGGAAGTGTCAGTCTTGCGCTGAGTTGTGCCATCAAGCCGAGGTTAGAGGAACTGTTGACCCCTGCAGCAGACTTTGTCCAGGTAAAACCTTTAGTACTACACATGTTGTACTTTACCTAATGGTTCATTTATATTTAATTATAGTTATCAACAAAACATTTCTTCTTGTGTGACACATTTTCTGAATGTGTTTCAGTCTCTTTACATGACCCTGTTACGGAGACACAAACTGGAGTATCAACAACTATAGCCAGTGCAGCGGGGACAATGCCTTTGTCACTAAATAACGGTAAGCATGCAGCACGTATACACTGCAATGTCCTCGTCACAGATCAGTCGAGATACTGTTTGATTTGTTGGTTGGTTGTTAAACGCCGCACTCAGCAATATTCCAGCTATATGGCGGCGGTCTGGAAATAATAGAGCCTGGACAAGATAATCCAGTGATCAACAGCATGAGCTTCGATCTACATAATTGGGATACGGTGACAAGCGTTAGCCAAGTCATCGCTGACACCACCCGATCCTGTTAGCCGCCTCTTACGACAAGCATGAGTTGCTGCAGACCAATTCTATTACTGAACTTAAGGGCTGGATACTGTTTTGAGTTGAATGATGGTAGGGTGTGGAGAAACAGGGGTGAACGAAATGCCAACTGTACCATTGCTGAACATGATCGCCTTGGGAGGAAGTTTGATTGCATCGACTGGAATGCTGGTTGGACATCGGACTGACCTTGTCGTCGTAAGGGTTGTCAAGGCAGTTGTACGTTACAGGGACGAAATTTTCATACCAGTGGCCCCAACTGATGTATCTTATAATTCACCAGATCAACGTGGCATTTTGATTTCTTGTCAATCGTCTCTTCCAGATGGATACCTGATGCCAGAGGTGTTAGTAATTACACTGGGAGTGGGCATCATCCTGGTGGCTCTGGCGGGCTTTGTCATCTTGTTCTATCAAAGAAGTTGGCGAAGAACCGACCGCAGTTCAAAACGGCCTGGAAAAGACCCAGGCACATATGGGTATACTGTATCTTCTATCAGTGCAACATTTCTAGCCAAATCTTACTGACTATATGAAGCAACCCGACTTTGCCTTTGTGTTGTGTCTAGCAGCTCTTATAACAAGCAGTATATATTCAAGTGGCGGATAGGAGGTGTGACATGTTAGTCATGTAAGAAAACATACCTTTTTATCAGTTTTGTTGCGAGCTAGTAAATATGAAAGATCAACAAATCATGTGCATATTGTAACCCTCTGCAGTATTTAGGCGATACGATCCCATACCTTAATGTTATCAATCATAAGACAATACACGTTTCCTTCATCATAGAAGTGGTCAGTGTAGCTGCCAAGTCTGTTGAGATAAGAGAAATAAGATGGTGACAAGTAAGCTGACAAAGATGTACAAAAATGTTGCAAAGGGTACGTGCGTTACTCGGGTGGAAAGCGTCACCGAAGCAAGAAAACGTCAGGGTCAACACTTAACCATGATACCCGTATCAAATACATCGCTTTAAAAAAGTATGTTTGCTTTGTATCATTTTTAACCACCATCAAGCATGATTGTATACATTCTTTTGCCAACCAGGTGGCTCTCAATATTGGCATAAAAGCATTTATATCTAGTCAAAGCGTTATCCATGGTAATGCTTATATGTCACCAGCATGATATTGTGTATTGTTTACATGTCGTGACCGTTTTTAGAAATATTCCAGCAATATCACGACAGGGGACAGCGTAAATGGGCTTCACACATTGTACCCTTATAAAGAGTCGAACCAGGGTGTTCAGAGTGACGAACGGACGCTTTAACCAACAGACTACCCCACCGCTGCTCATAGTATTGTGAAATAACCACTGTATTTCATTATTTTTGAAAGAAAAATGTTCGCCCATGTCGTCACTAATGACGTCATAATCAAAGAGTCTTGTAATTTTGTTTTCATTCATGGAACATATTGTGTATTATGTTGTCACTTTACTGATCACGGTTAATTGAGACGCATAGGCTTACGATTCAAAAAATCAACCACAACCTACAACGAATGTTTAATTACCTTTGTAGCATGTTTAATATATTGTGTTTTGTCTTTTTCCAGAGACTTGAACAATAAAAACTGAAAGAAATGCCTTTAAATGTTTTCATCCAGCCCAGGCACACAAACTACTATCCAGTGATCAACATCATGAGCATCTATCTACGCAACTGGGATACGATGACATGTGTCGACCAAGTCAGCGAGCCTGACCACCCGATCCCGTTGGTCGCCTCTTATGACAAGCATGGGTTACTAAAGATCAATTCTAACCCGGATTTTCACGGGTCTTTTTACGTGTATGTGTATAAAAGGGTAGGACATTTATGTCTGCAAACGTCAGATTATATTCTGTTGATACCAACTAGTCATATTTTCACAACTGGCAGACCGACTCTGTGGTACATGGAAAGTGTTCGTAGAGCGGAAAGTCTGGGGTTTGAACCCCGGCACACCAAAAGTTGATTATTGTTACACTACCAGGCGCTCGTTAGTAAATGGACCCGACGTCTCGTGATAATGAATCATACTGTGTTACGTAACGCACGGCTCAAGAGGTCAACCACTGTTGTCGAGACAGACAGCCTTCAAGCTGACAAGCCGCTCAACATCGGGTGTATAGGTACAGATACTTCACGAACCTGTGACTCACGCTATGGTATATGTGTCGATTACTATTGTTGTAATGGGAATGCCCATGTTCTGTTCATGGTCATTCAGTCGACCCCAGTAAGCATACACAGATTATGACCTGCAAATAGATGAATAGGCTACTTTTGAAAAACTACATCTAACATTTCGTTTATAAATATTCTCAGTCTTTCTGTAACATAAGAAGAAATGAAAACTCAGTTCAAAGACTTGCGCAATTCTGTTTGGCCAGTCAACACATCACATTCCCCTTTGGATTGATTTATCCATATCATTTAGCTGTTTGGAGAGATTGTTTATTACGCTTCAACTGGTTTGTTTACTGGACCAACTGTCAGTAAATAGAACAAAGAAAATTCGTTCCATAAATATATAAAGGTATTAAAATTCACTCTTTTATCATAGGAATACCATACATGGTTACATACATAGCAGCTGATCACTGATCCCCCGATCTTTTGATCGTTGTTTTTGGTAAGCAAAGACTGGATGATCTTGTCAAGAAAAGAGTATATGAGTGAGTGAGTGAGTTAATATTTATCTTCACATCGGCAATATTTCAGCTATATCGTGAAGAGAACAATTAATTATCATAATAAACATCAATAAATTTAGAAATTAGCAACCTGTTGCCGATGACCAGTAAAAGTGCTAGAGTGTCACAGAGAAGGTAAAACTAGCATGTAGTGAAACGATTTTATTATAGGGAACATTACAATATGAAAACGGGCTATGGGTCACCAGCAACTGACTGTAGATCAGGGCCCCGTTCCACAAAGCGATGGTAGAGCTAAGATGATCGTAACTCCCAAACCTTAACATAGACTTACGACTGTCGTATCGCTACGATTGCTTTGAGGAACGGGGCCCAGTTCGCTAACAAACTAAAAGATAAACAAGCTAAGAACCAAATAGATACAACGGCGATCAACCCCATCTGTGAACTCTGTAATTATAACCATAATGAAGACGAGAACCACGTATTTGTTTGCTTGTGCCAAGTATAATCAAGCCAGAACTACAGAAGCTACAATCAGAGGCACACTAACCATTCAGGCAATTTTCATGTCACAAAAGAATTATGTACAGCTATTTATTACTCACCCGTTGAAGATATCACTGTTTAATAATTTTACAATGTTATTACACATGGTGTAATAACATCACGTGGTGCCGTACGTATGACATAAAATTGGTTAACAGTTATGACGTCACAATGCTAATACCTCTGTCACAATAGTATTAGTACCTTGCTAGACTCGCGGAAAGCTGTCAGCCATCACACTCGTTGAATTCTTAGGAAAGAAGTACTTTGCTCGATATTATTTTGCTAATGTTGGGTGAGTAATAAATAAAATACTAAACTATATCTCGTGTAATACCATATTTATGAAACTCGTGAATAGTATTGGTATCTACCTCGCTTTCGCTCGTTAGATACCAAACCGTTCACGCGTTTCATAAATATGGTATTACACGGGACAAAAATTCTCTATTTATATCAATTAAATATTTAAAATAAGATCAATATGAAACTAAAATGTGTATGATCACGTGTAATTTATATTGTATTTGTCAACTGTATCAAGGGCCTTACGGCCCAAATACTACTGACTAAACTTCTGTTCTGTTCTGAAGGTAGATCACCATACTAGGGTCCATGGGGACATTACGTTCTCTACCTGCGTGCACCCTAGCTGGATTTACATCGTGCCTTCAGGTGTTGGCGATTGTTCAGACAATATTAAGACACCCATCTTTTTCTTTTAGCGAAGTAGAACACATTGTATGTTCATTGTATGCTACTGCACATATTAGTTCCGATATCAATAAAGAAACATTCCAAAGCAAGCGTTTTAGCATACTTTTATCCATAGACCTGAGTTATCGGCACAGATTTCAAGGAAACTTAAAATTCATTCGCTGCTATTGATAAGACATCAGTGGTCGAACAGGTATTGAGTTCAGTGTGATAAGCGAAATGGGAAGTTCGAATCCCCAGTAATAATTATTTAACACTTCACGTTAAACCCCTTCCATCGACGGGTGGATTTTGGTAGGAGTGAGTAAGTGAGTGAGTTTAGTTTTACGCCGCACTCAGCAATATTCCAGCTATATGGTGGCGGTCTGTAAATAATCGAGTCTTGACCAGACAATCCAGTGATCAACAGCATGAGCATCGATCTGCATGAGCATCGATCTGCACAATTGGGAACCGATGACATGTGTCAACCAAGTCAGCGAATCTGACCACCCGCTCCCGTTAGTCGCCTCATACGACAAGCATAGTCGCCTTTTATGGCAAGCACATGGGTTGCTGAAGACCAATTCTACCCCGGATCTTCACGGGTGGATTTTGGTAGGAAGCCCAAAGTGATACAGGTCTCAGACGATCATCACTTTAGTTAAGACCACAGCATGGAAGTGATGCCGACATACCAAGGCGGGTGCTGGGTTCTAACCCACAATACAGATTGCTATCATGTCTAAGCAACCAATCATTCAGCGAATTATGACCATTAGAAAGAATGAAATTTGAACGGTTTGATGCAGGTGGTTCCAGTTCAACTAGGGACTGTGACTAAAAGGTTCCGAACTTAACTACGTGAAAGTATAATATACAAATCATGCTTAACAGTTTCGAGTGTGGAATTCATTCCATGCTTACAGGCTGTATTTAAACCAAATACACAAGTAGGTAGCGTTTATCAGTAGGGAGTGACCAGGAAGACTTCACAATTGTTCTTCCACATCCAGCGTGTACTTTACCTTTTTGTGAATGAATTCTCGAATACCATTTTATCAGGCTGGAGACACCATTTCCGGATATGTCCAGATACACGTCGGAAACAATAACGAGTCTGGTTGCACACACCTCGTTTGGTTGTCCAATTACATAGTTCATAGTAATAATGTCCGTCATATACAAATACGTCATACCGTAATCAACCGTATCACTGTAATATGTAATAAAAATGTAATAATTCACTGCCACGAAAAATGGAGATGGACTACCCTCTCGTTTATTGCGCTGGGTCCCGTTGTACAAAACGGCCTTTGCGCTAAAGCTACTTTAAGTGTATGTTAAGGTATGGGAGTTACGGTCATCTTAGCGCTAAGATCGTTTTGTACAACGGCACCCTGACAAGGGTTATGATAAGGATTGGTAAGGGACAAAGGAAAGCGGAATCAACCTCATGTGTCGGATAAACACTTGCACTAACAATTCATGTCTCTTACAATATTTTACCCACTTGCGAAAAATCTCATGCATTCAAAAGAATGTATGTAACTACATTTGTACCTATTTACTCTTTACCTGTTTGAAAAAACGAGACGCATATCCATGTCAAGTGGAAGTCAATTGTCATTTAGTCATCCGGATCGATCAGAACACTATTAACCATTTAATGTATGCCAGAAAAAGCACAAAAGGACGCACAAACCAGGCCATAGTGTTCGCTTTCATTAGAGAACTGTTTTTCATGTAACTGGCATTGGCGTAAATATATGAACTGAAACGTAATCGATCTTAACCCAGTAATTTTGTTTATGTATTTCTCACCAAACTCAAACAGCACTAGAGCATACAGGCGAAATAACTTATTAAATACTAAATTCATTTCATGGTAAATAGTATGGATGTATTTTATGGATGTATAATTGTTTAGCCATATTTATTCAACCCGCACAAATCACTCTCAGTGTATGCAGACATGAGAAATTCATATATAGTACTATAAGTGTTTTGTCTTTTTAAAGAATATATTGGTATAAAGTGTATAAAATGGTAGAAAACCTTCAGACTCTTGAAAAGGTTCTTTTTCGTGTCGCGCTATGAACGTGTTTGCAAGCATGGATGTTTTGTTGTTGTCGCTGTGGTTGTTACCCTTCCAAAACAATACCTGTAAACATTGAATTTCGCAATGTGTCTGGATGAATTGAATAATTCTGCATACACGTGCAGGCTTATACACAGGTTAGTGTAACCTGTGTACACAAAGGGTGTCGGTAATTTCCCAAGCCCAGACGTCAACCGCCTAACCCCGTTGCCAAAAATACGCCAAAGAGACAAGGCACTGTGTGTTTGTGAGAGAGACGCGGAACGATGGTAGAAAATTTCCACTCACATGTGAATGGGCCATGGTTCTGTTTTTTTCTTTTGTCATCAATGCAGTGTTTTGCCGCACCGTGATATGTCGCAATGATTGTATATTAAACCAAGTATCCACAACCGTCCATCATAAACGAATGGATCATGTCTTGCCACGCAGCATTCCCAACCATCGGGAAACTGAAAACATTTACAATAACGTTAGATAATCCCGAGGGAGTGTACTCACCGTACGACGACGTCAAGGGTCATGTAAAGGTGGAATTGAAAGACAAAATGAAAATGAGAGGTAAGTTCTTGCATTATCACACATTTGGACAATTGCTAGAATAGTAAAAGACAATATGCCACCACATAGACGTTTCAGTGACAATTACGATATCACAAAATTTATTATGGGAACAGTTAATTGTTTAAAAAAATCCCCGTTTGTTTCCCCCTGTTTGAGGGGTGGGTGGTAAATCGATCAACATATCCACTCGTTTCCGAAACAGAACTCCGAACTTGGCGAACTTTTGCTGATTTAAATTCTTTTTCTATTATCTATGATTTGTTTGATTTGTTTTCATGACGACAAGTTGAACTTATACTTATGAGGAGGGTATTGCTCTTTCTGAAGCAGAAATCAAAACGTTGAATATTATTCAATGAAGCTAGCCAAATCTGACTTTTGGTGAATTCGTGCGTTTTGATGATCAGAGATAATGAAATATTTTGTCTTCTTTGAACTGAAGGTATCCAGTGGCAATGAACCAAAACTGGGGAACTAGTAACCAAGCAACATTTGCAATTTGCATACTTTTGTTGGTATGTGAATGCATGTTTGTGTGTGTGCGCGCTCTTGCGAGCTGAAGCCGAGCGAGTGAGAGAGTTAAAATTTAAACTCACATCGGCATTATTTTAGCCATATCGTGACTAGGAGAAATATATAAGATTTGACAAAATAAATATCTTTTGACAAAGGAGAGTAAAATAACTAGACTATCATAGATTAACACCTAAAACTAGCAATTTATCATAATATACTGGACAAAAATAGTTAGGGATATATGTAAATTTTGAAATTATGAATAATGATCTATTTATTCATTGACACACTGATGAAATATCAATAATAAAAATACCAATACACCTAACTTATTTTGTCCAGTATAAAACAATAATTAAACTTGCAACAATACAATATAAAAATGGGCGATAGATCGCCAACAACTGAAGGTAGATCACCATAGCTAGAGGCCATGGGGACGTACAGTACTTTTGCTACTCTTGCTGGATCTATACCATCCCTTCAGATGTTAGCGATTTTGAGCAAATTAGCCATGGATTAAAGGAACACATATACGATTTAAAAACATAGTACAAATAAATAGACTTTGAATGACGTGGGCTCACGTACCGCTGAAGCTGAAATTATCAGCCTTTTACAGTGTGTTACAATACAATTACAACTATTCGTGTTCTGGACACATTCCATGATGTGTTCTAGTTAATGTTAACTAATGCCTGGTTGGATGACCACTCACATGAAGTGTTAAATAGGGTTTGAGTTGTTGCTGATTTGATGAAGTTAGCCTAAAATGTTTTCTACAAATCGTATCTCTTCAAAAGCTACTTGACTTTTCTACTCACAAGACAGCAAGAGGGGCGTTGAGTCAGCCCAGTGGTTATAGCATTCGCAGGACCCGGGTTCGACCCTTTTCCTTTATGTCGAGCCCAGAAGTTGTTCAGTCGAGATAGACATTGTATGGTAGACATGTAGAGGGCATTTCCAAATTTAACTGATCAGTGAAAGAATTATGTCCTTCAAAATTCTCTATTTCTAGGTTTATCATATGTCAGCGTGTGGTTTTCTTGTTTTGGGGATATTTTTCAGGTGGACAATTTGCCTTTGTATGTGTTTGTGGCTGTTGACACCAGTAGGCCAGGATTTGCTCACGGTGTTTAGAACACCTGGTACCCTTGCAATTTGATTGTGATTGATAACAAAAGCGACAAAACCTTTTTCACATTCACAAGATTTGATACAACACACTTGATATGGATGTGCAACTTCTTTATCATTTACACACGACGTTTCTCGGCGAATACTTGACGAAAATGGGAAAAGAAATTGGGTGACTGATATTAGAGAGTTGTTGTACAAAACTGGTTATGGTTATGTGTGGTGTAATCACAATGTTCAGTTACATGCAAATTTTATCATATCATTTACACAAAGAATGAAAGATATCTATTTCCAGTCTTGGTCGGAATCACTACTTCTATCCGAAATTGTTTATACTATAAGCAATGGAAATCGCACCTACGTTTTGAAGACTATATAGCAAATATCGACGTAAAGAAGTTCCGTATACCTACCTCTCTCTCGTTTTCGTTGCTCTTCCCATGCATTATTTATTGAAACTGGCAGGTATACAGGTATACAGAGAGAAAAAACCCAGAATATGTCAATTATGTAATATGAATACTGTTAAGGATGAACTACATTTCCTTCTAATCTGTCCTGTTTATACGACTCTACGAACGATCTACCTGAAGCTATACTATTATAAGCATCCAAGTGTAAGAACATTAATTTCACTATTACATACATACATACATACATACATTTGTATAGCGCCGATATCCAGCTCAGCTCAGCTGCTCAAAGGCGCTTTGTTTTCCCCTCGTTCACTGGACGTCAATCTCAACGGCACATCGCATTGTCAATCTCAACTCCCTTGGGAGCATACAACTCTTGCAGAGACTAGGCGCACCGAGTTAACGGGGCATTCCCATCCTTACGAGGTACCCATTCACAGCTGGGTGGACTGGGACACATAGTCACAGTACTTTGTCCAAGTTTTACTGCACGTTGCTGTACCCGCAACTGGGTGTTTGCACGTATTCATGTGGCCACCATCTGGTCATATACCAACGGATTCGTGGGTTCTTTTAAGTGCACAGGGTTGTGTACTGTACACTAGGGGTTGTGACAACACTGAAAGAGTCTGCACACAAAGTTGACTCCAAGGTTTTTACACCCGGTCACAGGTGGGCTCGATCCCGTCACCTCACGCTCGCTGGATCACTAGCCTGGCGCTTTAGCCAGTTCGCCCACCGCGCCCCCAACAGATACTACCGCATCACTATTACAGAATCTGGCAATGTACATCTATTTCGCTATGAGATTAAGAAAAAGTATTTTTACAGAAAAGAATTTATAAATGTAAACTTTAAATGTACTACAGGCTTGTGGCCTTTTTAAGTACTGAAATAAAGATTGATTGATTGACTTGCCCCTTCATCATTCACCTGATGAAGGGGCAAGTATTAGCTCAGAAACGTCTTGTGTGAATAATAAAGAAGTTGCACTTCCATATCAACTGTGTTGTATTACCCTACCAACTTCTAGATGCCCATCAAACATCTGATCCACAAGATTTGAGTTAATCCCGACTATATCATGGGCACATATTCATTACTATCAAATAGGGAATCCAATGATGCCAGGTGTTGGCGAAAGGCTGAGTGTACCCTACCTCGATGGTAAAGATAGATCTGAAAATATAAATGACAGTGAAAAGCCGCTGTCCCATATTAGATTTGTTGTATGTATCCAATTGACATCATGCTAGACTATAGACCCCCATGGTGATCTACCTTCGGTTGTTGGCAATCTATAGCCTGTTTATATATTGTCTTGTCATGTATAGATACAATGTTAAAATTTAATTACTAGTTTTAAAATTTATGTCTGTGATAATCTAGCTGTTTTACTGTTGACAGGTTTTTATCTTTTACCTTTAAATTTGTAATTCTATCACTTGATTTAGTCACAATATGGCGGGGCGGTGGGGTAGCCTAGTGATTAAAGCGTTGGCTCGTCACGCCGAAGACCCGGGTTCGAATCCCCACATGGGTAAATGTGTGAAGCCCATTTCTGGTGTCCCTCGCCAGGATGTTGCTGGAATTATTGCTAAAAGCGGCGTAAAACCAAACTCAGTCAGTCAGTCACAATATGGCTGAAATACTGCCGATGTGACTTAAAACCTTAACGTACTCACTCACTAGATTATTGACACATATAGCTGGAATATTTCGTAAAACTAAACTCACTCACTCACTCACTAGATGATTGACCTACTTATCCAGATCAGACTTAGAGGGTATTTGAAATCTCCTTTACAATATATTGTATTTTTGTAATTATACAAATACGACTGAGTATAATATCAGATGATAATATTTGCTCTTGCCAGGCATCAGACTTCATTTCTACGGTGGCGCGGAAGTGGAATGGAAAGAGCTTAAGAAGGTGGGAGACCAAACCTACACGGAGTACTACAGAGCAAATGAAACCTACCTTAACTTTGAAATGGTTTTATTTGGTAAAGGTATGAAAGTCTGCTACACTTCACATTATTATCATTCAAATGTGTTACCTTTAATGCAGTCAGATAATGGCTTACCTGTGGTCATCACCTGCTGAATGATAAAAAATGAGGACTATTTTTATGGATATACAACTTCTTTATTCAAGCACTTGCTTGACAACGATATTAGAATCTATGTCGAAACGTCGCCTATACAGAGTAAAGAAGTTGTATATCCATAAAAATACTCCTCATTCTTCATCTACCCAACTTCTAGAATGCCAATCAAAGAAGTGCTGTATGATAGTATAATGAAATTGTGTGCAAAGATCCGGGACCCCGTTCCACAGAGCGATCGGAAAGTCCTGACTGTCGCAACTCTATGTTAAAGAATAGGAGTTGCGATCAACATAGTGCTACGATAACTTTGTGGGACAGACCCCGGATCAAGGCCATTGTATTCAAGAACTACTTCTCACACACCAGCAGCCATCAAGCCATATACATAGATGCATACCACTGTAGGGGTAGTTTGGTCGAGTTTGTTTGCTAATTGTTTGTTTGAGGTTGCATGGCAGAAGTTGTGCTGTGAGACGTCTGACAACAAACAAACACTTACAGTGTCATGCACGCCGTGTGATAGACCATGTCTCTGCGAAGGATAGGACATGCTTACCCTTTTCGCTAACAGCTCTTTCCATCGTTGATATTCAGTTCTGTTCATATAAGTTTCCCTGTTGTTCTTCCTTTCACTTGTACAACCACTTGTTTCGGGGGACAATCGAGAACGCACAAACAGAATATGAAACTGCGAATCAAATGTGCAGGTATTGTCTCAATAAGATGCAGTAATCAGATGTTTCTTGGTAAGAACCTCAGCATGTTCAGTTCAGCATATTTAGGAGAGGTTCAATAGAGATAAGAGGTGAAATTTAGTTTTCTTATATTGTGAGTGAGTTAGTTTTACGCCTCTTGAAGCAATATTCCAGCAATATCACGGCAGGGGACACCAGAAATGGGCTTCACACATTGTACCCACGTTGGGAAGCGAAGATCGTCAGCGTGACGAATGAACGCTTCAACCTCTTGGCTACCACACCGCCCCTTTACACATACAATGCTAACAACATAATGTAAGTGGGATTCTTGTACGGATATGTTAAACATGTCATGCATGTCATGTTATTGTTGTTACGGTTACACGTCGGAATATGTGGCCACTACATATTGTAAAGAGGTTACGTTAAAGCATCAGCGATATAGATAATAATATTCGTATTGACAAAATATCTGTGTACTTACGTATTTTTCATAAAAACGTCTGCCTGAAAACGAAAACACATCTCGACAAAAATACAGCTCTAGATTACACGTACAGCTTCCTGCAATAAAGCAGTCTAAATCTCAAAAGACTCAATATTTACCATTCACATTTTGTAGCGTCGGGACAAGGGGGAGACAACCCTACTCTACCCGCAGGAAGTTATACATATCCGTTCCGACACCGGCTGCCAGGACCTCTACCTTCCTCGTTTGAGAGTTATGCGGGGAAAATAAGGTACTGGATCAAAGGTACCATTGACAAGCCATGGAAGTTTAACCACACAACGAAAAAGGTTTTTACAGTTGCCGATAAACTCGACCTCAACGATCGCCCCGGAACGAGGGTAAGTGAGAGATACTCCGCAAAATTATTCCATTTCATTGTTAACGTAAACAACTTGAAGTAATGATCAAATACGGACCATGCAAGGATAATACACAGTTGTAAGATCCTTGATTGTTGTAAAAAAGAAGATTTGTTCATGTGTTTTCAGGGCATTATTGCAAATTATTTTGAATCGAATTAATTAACGAAATAGAAATGCAAGAATATTTGCATATTTATGATTGCAGAAAGCTTCACGAGGAGAAGACGAAATTAACCTATGTTGCTTGTGGTGCAAATCTGGGCCAATCAGCTGTAAGTTTGAACTTGACCGAAGTGGCTATGTTCCGGGGGAATCTATTCCTATCAAAGCGGAGATCATCAACCACAGTAACAGGAGGATGTGGAGGTCACGCGCAGAGCTACACATGGTATATAAGAGTAGTGTGGTATATAAGACATGTTTACTTTCAAAGTCAATTTACTTTTCAACTCAACAGTTCCTCTTGCTTGTGGTAGCTCAGGCAATAACAAACATCACACTGGGGTCAACATTGTGGGAGTGATGGTACTGGTAGAACACCTGGTGTTCAGGGATCCAATGATGTAACTTGTATCACTGTTCAGCCTTTTACTCTAACTGGAATCTGCATCAGCAGAGACCGCTTATTCTCTTGACGAGGTATTGGTGATTCTAAATATATTTTATATTGTAAAAGAATGAAAACATATAACGGTTGGCCATTTGCTTAAATTTAGGTACTTTTGTCATTTCAATGTAAGGAATCATGTTGTACAATCAGTTAGTATGCGCCCGTTTATAAAGTAGACGACAATCTGAGTGTGATAATTCATGTTTACATTTTGGCTCGTTTTAGACCGAGGCGCTTTATTCATTGATCCCATTTTCTCCAGGCCAATAGACTATGTTCTTTGTTCTAGCATGTCAGTTATCACGCAACCACTAAGTCAGTAACACATACCAAGAAAATAGGGGAAATATCCCACGGAGGAATTCTTCCTGGAGACTCGGATACATGGAATGGAGACCTTCTACCGATACCACCATTGCTGCCATCTGAACTAAGTGGATGTCGAATCATTGGAATTCAGTATTTTGTGAGGGTAATTGTTCTGGCATTTACGTAAAAGGTTTTTACTTACAAATCAGACGTATACGACATTTATAATTGTTTCTTATAGGAAATAATACATTTCTTGACGCCTTTTAGCTAAATAAACGTGCATTCAAATGGGCTGCTTGTTGTTAACAGTTTACCCGTCGGTGTGGCCAAAATATAAATTACCTTTATTTTTTTTATCTATGGACTACTGTTTGTTATGTTGCAGTTCTGTGTAGTTCCCGTTGGACCCGCATACCAGTTAGAGATACCGCTCAAAATAATCATCGGAACTATTCCACTCAGAGAATCTGTTCCTCCAAGGCAGGGTCCAAGCCAGTCGCACCTTCATCAGGAGAGAGCACAGGCTTTTGCTCCATCCACATCACAGCGTGAGTCTTCCTGTTTCTGTGATACTTCCTGAAATCTACAACCAGGTCCTTGGCAAATACACTAAACTTAACGTCGTATGTTGAAGACGAATCGTGACGTTTGTCGCTCTTACAACCCTAAAAAATACAGTATATTATAATAATAATCTGTAAACCGAGAGATCAAACTCAATGTCAGAAATTCGCTACATTGTTAAAGCAACCAAAAAGAGCTATTTTCACCTTCCTTTGCTTCGAAGAAGTGTTCAGTATCTTAGCCCACGTCGGATGCTCTTTATCAAAAGTCAGCTGACAGTAAGAAACAAAGATTACGGGCATCCCAGCATTTCCAGTCATCTTCTGTGTCATATGTTTTGTTCATTCAGATACATCGGTAGTTAACCCGTGAAGATAAGAGTCAGAATTGATCTTTAGTAACGCCTGCTTGCCGTAAGAGGCGACTAACAGGATCGGGTGGTCAGGCTCGCTGACTTGGTTGACACATGTCATCGGTTCCAATTTGGGTAGATCAATGCTCACTGGATTGTCTGATCCAGACTCGATTATTTAGAGACCGCCACCGTATAACTGGGACATTGCTGAGTACAGCTTTTACCAACAAACCAATCAGAAGACAAACATTGATAGTTAAGTCAATATATTTCCAACACTGAACCCATCTTCTTATTCGTTGTATTAACAAGAGATCCATGTCAGTTACAAGTATGTTTGAGCATGTTCTTTGTAAGTATAATCCATGTATTTTTCCTCGCCTGAAAAGTAATTTTTTAATGAATTGTCGTTTCAGCAACACCAACCTATGCCGAGAGTACGTTTGGCAAGGTGAACATAAAAGATGTGGACGACACTGAGTATACCAAAGGAGACACGGACTATGCTCCAATGTATGCTTACTACAACGAGGGATCAACAGCTGAGTCTGCAACTGGGGACAAAGAGACTTCAGCTCCTCCGCAGTAGATACATCATCATTGCCAGTAGCTGTAACAAAACTGCAGCATTCAGTCTCTCACCAGTAGATAACATATTTATTGCTAGTATAAGTAGTATCTGTAACAATGTGCACAGCTAAGATTTCAGCTACTTCTCAGTAGATGCATCTTCATCTAGATGCATAACTAGTATCTGTAACAATGTGCACAGCTAAGATTTCAGCTACTTCTCAGTAGATGCATCTTCATCTAGATGCATAACTAATATCTGTAACAATGTGATACTTCAGGCAAACCCACCAGTCGGTTTAGTGCTGAATAACGGACAGTTACATTATTTGTTTCAATCTTTGTGTTAATAAATGTTCGATTTTAGTTTCCCAATACCTCCTAAGATAGTAGTAATCATTATTGTGATTGAATTATTTTTAGTTATGCAGATTAAACTGATCGATTGTCTGATACTGGTAGAAAAAGGTTTTATTTTGTTCACTTTTTCTTTTTACACATAGCAGAAAGAGAGGTTATATACATAGAGAAAGAGAGGGTAACTCCACAAATAGTCACGGCATAATAATGTACTTAAGTCTTGATAAGTTGACAAGAATCCTTTGTATTTAGAGTATTTCAGTATCCACTGCGGGGACAAAAGCTGGTTAGGGGGCCACTTATAAAGTTTCGTCTGTGGTTTTCTGCGTCATAATTTATGGACTTAATCCACGTACAGGTTACTTTCCTTAGCAGAGCCCAATATAAAAACAAAACAGGAAGATTGCACTTCTTTGTTCTGTATCAATATATTTACATGAACCAATATACCCATATTAAAACTGTAATGATATTGCCATACGTATTTCCGATGTTCTCGAAATATAGAACAGCACAGGGTTGTCTGCGAAACGTTGTCATGATTATGACTTCACATATGAACTTGACCAAGATCATATATCGTAACCTGTACACGGATTAAGTCCACGATGCTCTCATGGAAACAGCAAAGGGCACCAAATCAGTTTAAACATTGACAAGTTTCAGTTGTAGAATATGATCTCAAAACGTTTCGATGTTATACTCCAAAACGAATGCTTTTTTTCAGTTTAAATCCGTCTTTCTTGCGCAGGAAAGTAACTCAAAACGTACCTGTTTAAGAAATTATAAAAAGAAAACAAATATCTGAAACATATAGAAAGTTTTTTAATATAAAATCAAATGATGTCCTAGTCTCCAAATGGGTTTGTTCAACAATCTTCAACATTCTGATGATGTGCATAATGGCGTCCATTGAAAAATCAGATATTAACATTGATCGTGATTAGAACATTGTTATTGTGAAGCTTTCGAGGGTTTTTAACGTTCGGAGCATTTTTTGAAATGTTAAAATTTGACTCATCACTGTCAAAATGATGTTCGATAAGATTTCATAAATTCCATGCACCTTATGATCCCATGAGTTTTCGGGTGAACAGATAAATTGCCTTTGCATGTGTTTGTTGCGCTCACCTTTTAAGCGAATGCCTTGTAGATATGCAAATACGGAGATATGCAAATATATAAATCATTGAGATATTGTGATATGGGCAACGTTACTCTCATGCTGCGAGGTAAGCAAACAGCAACTTCCAGACAATCATGAATTGGTCTTGTATATTTTCGAGACGCGATCTGGAACTTGATAGAATATAGGAATTTTGTGATACATGTATCTCCATTGTTTCCAAACTTTGAGGAAAGGCAAACGTAGCATTCATCAATTTATTTATCTGTTATCAGATTACCACTGATGATCACATAACTGACGAGGTACGACGACAAGGTAAACCTGGTCGGTGCGTAAAGGGAGATAACCTAGTATGTAAAACTGACACTAGAAGTGACTGAGACCGACATGAACCATACTTCGTTAGTTAGCTGCTGCATTATTACCCCCCGTCCATGAGTCCCTCCGTCCGTCCGTCCGTCCATGCGAGATGATGGGTACAGATTTTCTCAAAGATAGGGAAACCAAATTTGTTATATATTTTCAGGACATGAATTTCTTGATACAGTTCAAAAACGGAAACCGAATTTGTTACAGAAGTATGGCCCTTGTCATGCGCTTCTTGACTTTTTGCACTTTGTCCCCTATGGGAACAGATTTTCTCATGAATTTTTTTCAAAATAGGAACAGAACACTGTGGAGGGGGATACTGATGACCATGCCTATTGTTATATATGTCAATATGTATATGTATCGATGTTTTTTATGTTATTTTGATGTTTACTATTTAATGTATATTTTAAAATTCAAACATGTTTGTATGGAAGAACAATTTACATCTGATCAGAGGTCATGTATGGAGAAATAAAAAACTTGAACTATGGTCATTTGCCTTCCATCCTTCCATGCCACAGTCACCTAAAGTCTGTATATTTCATTTAGGAAAACAATATTGTGTGACCATCTATCTGTTTCTATCAGGAGAGAAACACGATTGAACACATCTTCAGTGAAGACTTTATTAAAAATAGGCTTGGTCTGTTGGCATTCAGCCCTGTGCATCTTACGAATCGCACGGTACTTAAGAGCAAAGGATCGCCCATGTAGCTCTGGCCTTCTGTTGAGAATTTGATAACCTTGACAAACAGTTGGTCTTCACGGTAATATATATAAGGGGCACGGAGAGAGTGAACTAAGATCGATATGACAGACGTCTCAGTGTTCACTACAATCTTGCTCCATCTACATCCAATATTGCTATGTGACTCTGAGAGGTGGGGTGCATAAGGAAATTGAAACTGTTCATCATTTTTTTTAGCATGTGAACAAATTTCAAATGGTGGACGCCAGACTCCCAATGCAGTAAAATACGGTGAATGTGGACGTCATCATCCGTACATAAATAGATATCGTAGAACTCTGAACTACCGATGTCTTTTAACGGCATTTAGAAGTTGTTATAGATCACCAAGATATCCCGAAACGTTGTGTGGAAAGAATAAAGAAGCTTAAATCCATAAAATATCTTGGTCATCTGAACTACTGATTAAAACTTTGAAAGATGCTTGCAGATTGCCTTGCATGAAAGGCTAAAGACATGTTGATGTACTTGAACAAATGTAGTTAACAACGAGGAGAGTTCTATGGATATACAACTTTAATATAATATGAGGGACGTTTCGGTGTCGCTATTAACACCTTTATCAAGCATGTGATGTACAATACTGAAGGCAAGGTTGTATATACATAGTAAAGATTGAACTGTATGTGATTGATGTTTGCACAATTAATGAGGTTGATGTACAAGGTTGGAGGATGTTTACACATGAGTGAGTGAGTGAGTATGGTTTTACGCCGCTTTTAGCAATATTCCAGCAATATCACGGCGGGGGACACCGGAAATGGGCTTCACACATTGTACCCATGTGGGGAATCGAACCCGGACCTTCGGCGTGACGGGCGAACGCTATGGACACTTGGCTACCCACCGCCCCTGTTTACACATGGAGGTATTTGTTACACAAACAGAATAGCCTATGGGTGGGGTGGGGTGGGGGTGGGCCGGGGTTATTGGGATGAAGCCAGTTATAAATCAGAAAGGAGAATAATGGGATTAAGATTGTTTGGTGATGAGTTGGTTGTAGGCAGTAGGGATTTAATAATCTTGGTCTGTGTGCATGGCTGGGTGGAGTCTCTTGATGTGAATGGCTTCAATGACTCCAACCCACCATGAACATCATACCAACTCCTAAATGCCACTCAAAGAAGTTAATTGTGGTTAAAATAAGTCTGTGTCGAATGTATGATTTTTTCCTCTTCCACATGCTATGGGGATTGTGCGGTTGTCTCAAAGAATAGGAGACAAAGTGAGTGAGAGTTAATATTTAACGTCAAATCGGCAATATTTCAGCCATATTTTGACGACAAAAAGTTATGTACTAAGAATAAACATATGTATACTTATTTAAAAACCTGCCAGCGTAGGACAGTATAACGACTAGAATATCACAATTCGATTAAAACTAGTTTGAGTTCAGTGTAAAATGTTAAATCATTTCAAAACAACACAATATAGATCACCAACAACTGAAGGTACATCACCATACTAGGGTGTAGGAGACAAAGAATAATTCCAATCACATTTTGTTGTAAATATTCTCTTCCAAGTATGGGACAGCACAATATGTAAGAGTTCAATACATATAATTTATTGCCCATATGGGAAGGAGAACACAGGGAAGTATTTTTCCTGTAGGTCCCTAGGGAGGTTACCCATTTTGTTGAATGTTGATTGGTTGCTTCAGAAAATGATTTCATTGGTTAAAAACAATATGCCGGAACTACTTCATTCATCTTTTCAATTCATTCATTGTACACTCACACTTTCCTGTACACGAAATTAAGAACATCACAGTACATCACTGTAAACTCTTGGAAATAACAGTTGAAGAAAAACAATACGTCTGATTGAAATCAAGTGAAGCTTAAGAACGTCAATGTTACTGGTGACGTCACACCTTGTGACGTCACGAACCATCCTTACTCTGTTGCCGATGTAAACAAACATGACATCTTTGCAATCTCCAATAAATGTGAATGACAAACTGAAGGTTGATGGCGGCCTATTGGGAAAATTTGTATATTTTTAGCGACTGAACACGTTCAATGTTTAGTTTGTTGTGAGGACTGAACAAGAGAGATGTAAGTTCCCAGGTTTCGCATCCGTGTTGTGCCTGACAGACCAACAACACACACACATTTGGTAAAATACGGTTTTGTTTGCAATTATTAATACACAGTTCAAGCATTCAATTACAGGATGCCCAGGGAGCACATATTTAAGAAACTATACCGTTAAGTTAGTTGAGAAAAACACGTTTCTAAGGGAGTATTTAGTCTCGCGTAATACACCCGTTTAAGATAGCGGTAATGCGATGACGCGCCGGGACATGGAGATTCTCCACATTGCGGATTTCCTTAGGGAGAAACTGCTGTTTTCATTTTAGCCGATTTTTTAGATCGAAAACTGATATGGGTAATAAAAACAATAACCAACTGGTGACGGGGAATGGCACATTATCTTTCCCCTCGTTATATTAAGTAGGTGATCCTCTCGCCAAGGCTCGAGAATTACGTAATTATTATAACTCGGGAGAGATACTCTGTCATTCCCCGTCATTCGTTAGTTATTGTCTGAATCTACAACAGTAAAACGTTTACTAGATTCTGACCAATGTATATTTTAACACGGATCAAAAGTGGATCGAAATAGTCTTGTAAAGCTGAGATCAGGATTGCTGAGATTGAAAATAAAAAATACCTGGATATGGCTTAGTTTGGATTTGTACCAGGGGGCATGTCCGACATCTGATACGGCTGCTGTTGTTTTAGTCGCAATATCATGGCCCCTCTGACATTGAAGTTTCTGTTTTATTCGCCATATCATGGCCCCTCTGACACTGAAGTTCCTGTTCTAGTCGTGATATCATGGCCCCTCTGATACTGAAGTTCCTGTTTTAGTCGTGATATCATGGCTCTTCTAACGCTGAAGTTCCTGTTTTAGTCTCGATACCATGGCCCTTTTGATACTGTAGATGCTGTTTTAGTCGCGATATCATGGCCCCTCTGAGACTAAAGTTCCTGTTTTAGTCACGATATCATGGCCCCTCTGATACTGTAGATGCTGTTTTAGTCGCGATATCATGGCCCCTCTCATACTGCAGATGCTGTTTTAGTCGCGATATCATGGCCCCTCTGATACTCTAGCTGCCCTTTTAGTCGCGATATCATGGTCTCTCTGATACTGAAGTTCCTGTTTTAGTCGCGATATCATGACCCCTCTGATACTGTAGATGCTGTTTTAGTCGCGATATCATGGCCCCTCTCATACTGCAGATGCTGTTTTAGTCGCGATATCATGGCCCCTCTCATACTGCAGATGCTGTTTTAGTCGCGATATCATGGCAATTCCAATACTGAAGTTCATGCTTTTGTCGTGATATCATGGCCCCTCTGATACTGGTGGGTCGTGTCAAGAAAAGAGTATATGAATTATGATTATGGTTTATGTAGATGTAACACTGCCAACTTGTTAGTAATATTATGACACCCAGCTGTTCCTTTTAGCAAAGTAGCAAGCATAGTTGTATGCTCATTGTATGCTATTGCACATATCAGTTCCGATATTAATAATGAAACATCCACAAGCAAGCGTTTTAGCATATCCACTGACCTGAGTTATCGATACTGATTTCAAGGAAACTTAAAATACACATTCGTTGCTATTGAGAAGACCTCAGTGGCTGAACAGGTATTGAGTTCAATGTGATCAGCAACATGTAAAGTTCGAATCCCCAGTAATAGTTAGTATTTAACAGTTCACGTGAAACCCCTTGCTGCCTTTTGGTTGGAAGTCCAAAGTGATACATGTCTAAGACGGTCATCACTTTACCTAAGCCCACGGAATTGATGTGATGCTGACACACCAAGGCGGGTCCTGGGCCTCCTTTCACAATGCACTAAGGTGATCGTAAGTCACTTAGGTAACTTTAGTGTAATGTTAAAGAATGGGAGTTAAGGTTAACCTTAGTAAACGTTGCTTTCGTGAAAGGAGCCCCTTGATTCCAAACCACAATATAGATTGCTAACACATCTGAGCAACACATCACTCAGCGAATTATGGCCCTTAGTAAGAATGAAATTTGAAAGGTGTGAGGCAGATGGATTCCAGCTCAATTTGGGACTGTGACGAAATGGTTCCGAACTAAACTACCAGATAGTATAATATACAAAACATCCTTAACAGTTTCGGGTGTGAAATTCTGTCCATGCTTACAGGCTGTATTTAAACCAAAAACACAAGCAGGCAGCGTATATCAGTAGGGAATGATCAGGAAGACTTCACAATAGTTCTGCCACATCCTGCATCTTCGATTCCCGTTTGTTAATGAATTTGCGTCTGGTTGCACACCTCGACAAGTTGTCCAAATGCATAGTTCATAGTGTTAATGCCCGTAATATACGTCATACCATAATCACACTTATCATCGTAATATGTAATAAATATGTATGATATACTAATAATTTACTTACACGAAAATTGGAGATGGATTACCCTCTCATTTATTGCGCTGGACTGGTTTTGATAAGGGTTGGTTGGGAAAAGGACAAGTGCTGGTATTGGCATACAACTTGCGATACAGTACATCACAATACTAAAATTTTCAGTCACAACCATATATTGCTAAAGCATTGTGCATTGAAGCTGTGAAACGATACGAATACCGACATAAGGGTGGCGATACGATACGTATCACGATACTAAATCTTTAATTCTAACACTAACTTATAAAACACCTTAAGATCAAAACAAAACCATTTTAATGAATTTCGTCAAATTCCGTCAGCGTTTTTCAATGTTCATCCGTAAACGAGAAAATTAAGTTTATACACGGACTTTGTGAATGTTGATAACATGCGAGCGTTATGTCTGACACACTTCTTGACGCAAGAATTTGCGAGGAAACGTTTACTTATGAAGGGAAAATAAGTAAGCATACATTTTAATCATCAAACAAAAGTAAGTTGTTTTTCTTGACAGATATCGCGAGTCGGCAGTAATGAAGTTAAACATCGATGTATCGTGGCTCATTTGAAGTATCGTATCGGGATATACGACAATGTAAAACTTTGTATCGATTCACAATATCGGCGGCCCATGGATCGATGCATCGATGCGTATCGATGAATCGTCACACCACTACAAAGGAAAGTGGAATCATGTGTCGGATACACGCTTGTACTAGCGACTCATGTGTCTAACAGTATTTCACCCATTGTCGAGAAATGTCATACATTGTTCATACATTCAAAAGAACGTATATAACAACTTTTGTCCCTATTTACTCTTTACTCTATCTGCTTAAACCCGAAGAATGCCTAGCCTTATCAAGTATAAGACAGTTGTCATATAGTCATCCAGATCGATCAGATTCTCAAACACTATAAAGCATTAATGTTTGCCAGCAAACACACATAAACACGCACAAGCCAGGCCATAACGTTCGCTTTCATTTTCGTTTTCATGTGACTAACATTAGCGTAATACTTCGTGTTGCGCTGTGAACGTGGTTGCAGGCATGGATGTTTTGTTGTTGTCGCTGTTGCTATTACCCTTCCAAAAGAATACCTGTAAAACATTGAATTTTGCTATGCGTCTGGATGAATTGAATAATTCTGCATACACGTGCAGGCATATACACAGGTTAATGTAACATGTGTACACAAAGGGTTTGGGTAATTTTCCCAGGCCAGACGTCAACCACCTAATCCCATTTCCAAAAATACGCTTAAGTCGTTGCGTATTTGTGAAAGAGACGCGGTACGATTGTGGAAAGGGTCCATTCATATGTGAATAGCCATGGTTCTGGGTTGTTTTTTTGGGCATATCATCAGTGTAGTGTTCTGCCGCCTCGTGATATGTCGCAATGATCCTACTTTAAACCGAGTATACACAACCTTGCTTTATAAGGGAACAAGCAGCGGTCCTAACCATGGGCAAACTGAAATTATTTACAATAATTTTAGATAAGCCTACGGGAGTGTACTCACCGTGCGATTATCTCCAGGGTCATGTACAGGTGGAATTGACAGGTAAAATGAAAATGAGAGGTAAGTTCTTGCATTATCACACATTTGGACAATTGCTAGAATAGTAAAAGGCAATATGCCACGTTCGTTTTCTGTTTACGGAACAGATCTCCGAACGTGGTGAACGGGGGCCTTTTGCTGATTTGAATTCTTTTTTCATTATTAATATTTTGTTTGATTCGTTTTCATAACTCATGACAAGTTTAACTTATACTTACAAGTAGGGTTGTGCTCTTTTCCGAAGCAGAATTCTAAACTCTGAATATTATTTAATATAACTAGCCAATTAAAAATCAGACTATTGGTGATCAGAGATGATGAAATATTTTGAAAGCATTAATTTTGTCTTCTTTGAATTGAAGGTTTCCAACGACGATGAATCAAAGTTAGGGAACCAATAACAAAACACTATTTGCAATTTGCACAATAGCATCAGTTGATGACTTTTGTTTGTATATGAATGTATGGTTGTGTGCGCGCGCTTGAGAGGTGGAAGTGGGGGCGGACGGGTACCTGTGGATAATGTTGGGTCATACCCAACACTCCCTCCATTTCCCCTGTTCGTCCACAGAGAACCAAAAACGACATAGGGACAAAAACGACTACAGTATAAAGATCAGCTAAGGTGATTGAAGTGAATGTTTCATAAATCATAGACCGTCTGTATATGGACTTTGCCTGTAATTCCATTGTGTATTCATCTTGATTATGGTGGTGTATATACAAGGATCTGCAGTAATAAAGGCCGTATATATTCCATGTATCTTCTGGATGAAAGACCATGTACACTTAATCATACCATGTTATTGTTACACATACCTCACAAGGAATGCGTCACGATATTGCTGAAATATTGCAAATGTGACGTAAAATCTTAACTCACTCACTCACAAGGAATGGGTGAGTGAGTTTAGTTTTACGCCACTTTTAGCATTATTCCAGCAACATCAGAGCGGGGGACACCAGAAATGGGCTTCACACATAGTACCCTGTGGGGAATGGAACCCGGGTCTTCGGCGTGACGAGCGAATGCTTTAATTACGAGGATAGTCGACCAACCTAGGCTAGAAGTGACAGCTTAAATAAACAGTAGTCGCTAGGCCAGCTGAAGCTGAAAACGTTAGATGTTTACAATGCATTACACTACAGCTATAACACATCGTGTTGTCGACTCATTCCACGATGTGCCCCACCTAAATGTCAACTAATGTCTTCTTGGATAACCACTGAGGGTCATAGAGGGTTGTTTAACTTGTTGGAGTTGTTGTTGATTTGATTAAATGAGCCTAAACTGTTTACCAATATCGTATCTCTTCATTTACTGCACGAAGCATACCGGGCTTTTGAACACGCTCAACAAACCAGGCTTTTGAACACGCTCCACAGTGGTTGAAGCATTCACTGGTGACGTCGAGAACCCGGGTTCGATCCCGAACATGTCTTTCATGTGTGAAAACACACTTTTGGTGTCCCCTGCATTCACCTTACCTATGTGTCGAGCAATTTTCCAAAAGTTCCAGCTTTGGTGTTTACATTTCACAACTTTTGAGAAACAAACGATCATCCGACCGTAGTTTGAAAGATCGTCATATGACTCCTGCACAGAAGTTGTCCAATGAATGTTATAACATTCAAGACCTCAGTAAAACGTTCAAAATGCTGCGCTAAAATTTGGAAATATTTCCCAATTTTAACTCATCACAAACAGCAATTATGTCAGTTACAAATGTCAGCCTGTGTGTGATGTTGTGTGTGTGTGTGTGTGTATGTGTGTGTGTGTGTGTGTGAGAGAGAGAGAGAGAGAGAGAGAGAGAGAGAGAGAGAGAGAGAGAGAGAGAGAGAGAGCGAGAGTGAGCTTTGTTTTTGTTATTTGTTTTGGCTTGCCTTTGCATGTGTTTGGGGCGTGTGCCACCAGTAAGGCAGCATTTGTTCACGGTGTCAAGAACAACTGGTTACATCGGTATATGATAGTGATTGATAAAATAAGTGACAAAACGTTTTTCATATCCACATATCGAGTTTATGATCCCGACTACATCATGGGCAAGTATTTATGAATCACTATCAAATAGGGATGTTATCAGGTGTTCGCGAAAAGGTGAGTGTATTCTACCCCACTGGTGAAGATAGCTCTGAAGATGAAATGACAGTGAAATGCTGCTTTCAGAGTTGAGATATATTATATGTATCCAATTCACACCATGCTAGATTAGTGACCTACTTATCCAGATCAGGGTTATTTGAAATCTCTTTTTCAATATATTGTATCTTTGTAATGATACAAATACGACTATCAGATGATAATATTTGCTCTTCTTGCCAGGCATCAGACTTCATATCTATGGTGGCGCGGAAGTGAAATGGGAAGAGATTGAGAGGAGGGATCGAGAAGGGAGTTCTGATTGGAGTGGAGAAACCAGGTGCACACACGAAGCAAATGAGACCTACCTTAACAATGAAATGGTTCTATTTGGTAAAGGTATTAAAACCTGCTTCAATTAATATATTTTATCATTCAAATGTTTTACCTTTAATGCAATCATTAAATGGTTTACGTTTGATGATCAGTTGCTGAATGACAAGATAGGATAATTACATTGCGTGTGAACATCCCGGACCCCATTCCCCCAAAGCGATCGGAGCGGCATGACTGTCGCAAATCTATGTTAAAGAGTTACGATCATCATAGTGCAACAATCACTTTGTGGGGGACCCGCCCCCTGGTCAAGGTCATTGTATTCAAGAACTTCTTCTCAAACACGATCAGTCAAGCCACATACAAAGATGCATACAATTAGCTGTCTTGTTTGTTGTTAACTGTTTGTTTGAGGTTTCCGCTACAGAACTTGTGCTATGCGACGGTTCACAACAAACAAACCCTTACAATGTCATGTATATTGTGTGAAAGACCAATTCTTCTACGGGAAGGGGAGGGCATTCTTACCCTTTTCACTAACACCTGTTTTCATTGTTGATATTCAGTTATCTGTTCATTTATACTCCCTGCTGTTCTTCCTTTCACTTGCACACCCAATGTTTCCGAGTACAATTGAGATTGGCTATTTTCTGGCTTGACATTTTGTCAATGTGAGGTAGGTGTTTTTCTCAACAGAAGCCGTTAAAAATCGCACATGACAACTTCAAAATGAACAGTGCATAATTTTACAATAGCAGTCTCAAAAACAGTTTGAATCTACGTGTACAAGTAAGTATAAAGGATGGTCGTTGTCCACATGGCAGAATGGAATTGGCACAAATAGAACAACGTCGGTTCACTAACACGCCTGTAGAAGAGAGGACGCTCTTGAGGACTAGATGCATGTACCCCTCCCCCATCCCCACACACTACCCACTGTATAAAGATATCAGACTTCTCCGATTTAACTGATGTACAGAAGGTGGATTAAATTCTCTTCTCGCCTGAAGTGATTTTAAACAGTGTCAAGACCTGCAAAGCTATTTTAACTGCGAGTAGTATAGGTAGTATAGACAGTTCTGTTACAGGTACCACTCATTGCATTATTTGTGGTCAGATAAGCTCCCATCGATGATTCAAAATGGCGTCTTTCGTTGAGGACCATCGTTGGATGTCCCTATATATACTCACACGCAAAAGTAACGCAAGTCAAGTAAAAAGCAGATATGTATGTAATTTTCAATATTAAACACGAGAAATGCAAACAGGGTGAGATAGACAAAAAAATGAGTGGAGACATTTCATTGGCTGATGACATCATTAAGTTTTCGAAAGGTAAAGGGGTTGAAAAGAACGGATCTCGCTGGTGTTGATGGGTAATGTGCCGATCTTGTCGAGGGGTTGTGACCCTTGGACGATCGCTCCGAGGAAAGTCATCTGTGGTCTTTGTAGCGTTGGAGACGGTAAATAGTGGTTATGTTTACGTCGAAATGACGGGCACCATTTTGGACAGACACTCCAGCTTCCGAACGTCTGATAGCCTTGTTTCTTTCAGTTTGAGTTAAGCGTGGCATTGTTGAACAAGTAATAGACCTAATTTTTGTGCAGTCTTATTCCCACTTCGCGGTGGCGTGTGGTCCTGTGCACAGAGCTCAGGTCACGAATCAGTTGAAGTTAAGCAACGTCGAGCTCGGACAGTCCTTTGATGGCCGTGTTTGGCAGCTTGACTCCTGACAGTTTCTAGGACTTCAGTCCTACCCCACAACATGTGGTCTCCAATTAGGCAAGTGAGTTTGTTCCAAATTGCCTCTGTTCACCCAGCAGAAAATGGGTACCCAGTTGGATAAAGTCATGTGACTATAACCTTCTAGCGCCTAACAGGCAGCTTGGGTGATCCGGGGTAATAGGAATCAGATTCTGATTAAGCGCCGCGAGCAATCACTTGGTGTTTGGAGACTGTGCACTACAGAAGATGACTTATTATTACTAATGGTAGTGACAATTCGTGCATGTTAGATTTCACGAGAGGTGTGTGCATGATACCCACATGTTCATTGATATGGTGCGTTTTGGCGATTCCTTCTATTGATGTGTTTTTGCTCGGACCTTCCAAAACGCAACAAAAATTATTGATAACACCATCAGGCTTCACTATATGCCAAAACCCCATATAAATTAAGGGTCCGAGTTTGTTTCCTATTTGGATTAAAACTTGCATTTCTTATGCGTGTTAGTATATATATCTAAACAAATTATTTTATGTATTTTAAAAAAGAAAATTAATACATGAAGCCACCCTGAAGTGTTTGAACGACCGTTTCTCAATCAATGTCCACGTGATATACCTATTATTTAACTACTCTTTTATATTTTAATTGTGAGAGAGGTAATACATGTACCATGTCGTGGGGTAAGAATATGCTGCCCCATATGCCCTACAGGATAACCTGACAATGTCTCTAATACTGACATTGTATTTTCTATTAATTATCATCTGTTTTCAGAAACACTTCTGATAATATTAGAGGAAAATAAAAAAAAAGAAGAAAATCTAAAAATAGAGATTGAAAACCTCGAGAGTAAGTATGGAGAAACTATTGTGGAAGGATTAGATAGCAAAACACAAGGATTACAACAGTTACGACAAAAGAAAATAGACGGCATGTTGGTAAGATCTAAAGCTAAATGGATTGATGAAAGAAAGTGGATCAGTAAAATACTTTTGTAACCTAGAGACTAGAAATTATATCAGCAAAAACATGAAGGAGCCAGAGACGCCTAACTTCTGGCGATGAAATAATGATAAGAAGCTACCAAATTTTACCATGATCTATACTCATCAAAAGATCACCTAAAGATATTGACCTGAATATTAGTTAACAAGATATATGTAAGATTGAAACTGCAGATACAACTGAAGGCCCAGTAAATAATGATGAACACCTACATGTAACTGCACTTAAAAAATCTAAAAATAACAAACGTCCAGACTCTGGTGGCTTCTCCTAAGAAATTTTAAAACATTTTCTGGATTGACCTTAGAGACCTTATATAAAGATCACTAAATTTCAGCTTTGAAACCTAGAAACAAGGAATTATAACAGACATATTGGAAAGACAGACATATTGGAACGAATATTCGTATGATTTATGACTTACTCTTACAGACAGAATCCAAACAAATACCAGTTATGCTATTACTTGTAGATTTTGAAAAGGCTTTTGATTCAATCTTGGTCTTTTATTTTTAATATCAATTCATTGCGGCTGCAGACAAAGGGACCCGTTTGCTCCCTTTATATTCTTACTTTGCTCAGAAATATTATAAACTCTTATGAAGAAAAATATAGATATCAAAGGAATAGTGAGTGAGTTAAAATTTATCGTCACATCGGCATTATTTCAGCCATATCGTGACAATTCATTTTATACATAGTAATTAAAAGTAAATTGTAAAAACCTGTCAACGAAGGACAGTGAAATAACTAGACTATCACAGATTCGAATTTAAGACTAGTAATTAGATCTTAAACAGTTTATGTAGATGACAATACAATATAAAAACAGGCTATATATTGCCAACAACTGAAGGTAGATCACCATACTAGGGACCATGGGGACTTACAGTAGATATGCTTCCTGCATGGGCCCTAGCTGGATTTACATCACCCCTTCAGCTGTTAGCAATTGAGATAAAGCTAGCCATATATTAACATAACAGATATTCTACGATTAAAAAAGTGGAGTTTATATTTACTGGGAATGTTTTGGGACTTACGTTCCCTCTTAGGAGGACAATAATTTTACAGTACTTTAACCCAACTCGAGGATACAGCCACTAACAATCTGAGTTAGGAATTCAAACTTCCAATCATAAAATTCTTACCTATTTACAAATCATTTGACAAATCTAATTCTATTTAAAAATGCAATAACTAGATGAGAACTGATATTATTAAATAGATCCTTCATAGTTCGTGATTTAATATAGTTTTCCCTTGTGATGGAATATTCAACACAGTATATCAAAGGAATAATGATAGATGGCATTGAATACTTGCTTGTGCAATATGCACATGACACTGGATTTATCTTAGATGGTTCAAAGAAATCTTTCGAAGCTGTAAATAATACGTTAGACATATATGCACAAATGTCAGGACTGAAGATCAGTTATGACATATCAAAAGTCATATGGACAGGAAGCTTTTGAAACAGACCATATTTAGACCAGATTTAAACCTGCGTTGGAACCCTGGGTACTTCAGCATTCTTGGACTCAATTATGAAAGTAAAATCTATGAAATTGTGGAAATTAATAAAAGCTGGATGAAAAGAACTATAACGCCTTTTGGGGAAATTGCTATAATAAAGGCCTTGCTCATTTCCAAATTAAAGTTTCTCTTTCTCACTCTTCCCAACCCACCCACAGAGTTTCTTAAGAAATTGAATGGTATTTTGTTTAGTTTCCTTTGGGATAATATGCCTGACAAAATAGAGCGGTCAGTAGTTTGTAAGCCACTTGTTGAAGAAGAGCTTGGAATGATAAATATATTTGCATATGTTGATGCTTTGAAAATAACATGGATTAGAAAATTACCTTGTGCTGATTATGGAAGGAAGAAGGGAAAACTCTTCATTTAAGATTATCCACAGTATTAAACTTTGGCAATGAATACATTTCATACAGACGATACTTTTGACTTGATACTACTACTAGTCAAATATTATGTTATAAATGTAAGCTGAGAAAGATAATTCCTATGTTGTCATACTTCAAGAAGGAATTAAAGTATTAGTACTTTGAAGAAAAAGCCAGATGTTGGAATAAATCAAAGTTTAATGAATTCAAAAGTAGACGGGCAATGTATGTAAAACTTAGATTAGTTCAATGTTATGGTAGAGAATACATGGGTATGAAGGAGAGAGCGAGTGATATATCTTTGCTTAATTATTTTAATATAAAAAATGGCCGAAGTGGACGACTTTATACATATGACATGGGTGGCCAAGACATGCCCTTGGACACCTCATTCATGGGTGACACCGTAAGCGATGAACTTTTAAAGACGACTGTGAATGCTTATTACGAACACTTAAAGAAATACGAAAGTCACGCCGATCCTATAGGTCATGACTATACTAAGTTCCAAATTGATCAAAAAGGATACTGCGACTGAAAGCTCATTCGGGTACCAATCTCATGAATTCCGGCACTAGAAACCCCCTTGCATTGTCCATGCTTGCCGGAAGCCATGGTGTTTACTTTGTCCACGATGAATTTGGTCTGGTAGACTATCGTTGAAAACTTCCGGGAAAACCACCAAAACAATGCAAACAGTGCAGACCGAGCTCGAGGTTGGAGGTGCCAGGATTGACCAAATCTGTGACCGGGTATAAAAACCTTGGAGTCAACTTGTGTGCGGACTCATTGTTGTCACAACCCCTAGTGTACAGTACACAACCCCGTGCACTTAGAAGAACCCACGAATCCACTGGTACATGAAAAAAAAAGCGGCCACATGAATACTTGCACACACCTAGTTGTGGGTATAGCAACGTGCAGTAAGACAAAGTACTGTGACTACGTGTCCCAGTCCACCCAGCTGTGACTGGGTACCTCGTTCGGATGGGAAAGTCACATTAACTTGGTGTGCCTAGTGGCTGCAACAGTTGGATGATTCCCAGGGGGTTGAGATTGTTTGCCGCTGAGATTGAGATCCAATGATTGAGGGTAAAAAAAAAAATACACTTTGAGCATGCATGTGGGATGGACTATAGAGCTATTTACATAGCCATATAATAATGATAAGAAAGAAGAATAAATTCATCAAGCAAAATAAACTTTTTAGAAATTATGAAAAAAACACTTCTACAGGCAACTGAAAACAATCGGTGATGGAGAGCACGACAAGCGGCAGGTTCTGGAAACAGTTGTGGTCTGTAGCCGGCGACTGTAACCTTGAGGCACCATGGGTCCGTGATTATGACCATGCAATGCATGAGAAAGTAACTAGGTCGTTTGTCTGTTACCTTTCACCAGACTGCCTGAAAAGTGTCATCAAAAAGTCCAACTCTAATACAGCTACAGGGCCTGATGGCATTCGAAACCGGTATTGGAAACTGTTCCCCTCTGTCAAAACACCATTACTCTACTGCTTCAATACTCTGGTGGACACAGGTGATGTTCCTCCATGGTTCTGCAAAGGTCGCACAATACTCCTTCCCCAAAAAGGAGACTTGACTGATCCTAAATACTTCCACCCTATCACATGTTTGAATACTCAGTATAAAATCTTCACAGGGTCTCTGACAAACCTCGTGTCATCCTACTGTTCTCCCAATGATATAATTTATTGAGAGCAGAAGTGAGCGAGAAAGGGATGTTGGGGGTGCAAGGATCAACTTCTTGTACAAAAAATGATTTTGGAAGAGGCTAAAACATATCAGCACGACCTCTCCATGTGCTGGATTGACAACAAAAAAGAAAGAGCCATACGGCTCTGTCCCTCATGAATGGATTCTGAAGTCTCTTCATTGTATCGACCACCCGGAGCGACTACTTGATTTAACAAGTCTTTAATGAGTTGCTGGTCGACTCAACTTGAGATGTACTCGCAAGGGCAGGTGCTGACTTCGGAATCTATTTTAATCAGAAGGGGAATCAGGGCTCCAGATAAGGGCCGTATCGGCTTATGTACTGCTAAAATGTATGCACAATACGACAGGAAATAATTTAGGAAACGTGGCAGATACGCACCACAGCAATAGTGTAAGGTCTTAGAATCATTTACAGACGTATGTATCTACAAAAAGTATTTTCTTTATTGTATATTGACCTGTTTACACAAGACTAGCAATGTTGTTGTGCATATATGAAACGAAACACACATTTACTGATACGCCATTAAAGTCCATTCAGTACTCTTAATGCTCTCTTAAGTTTTTCCAGTTCTCCTATATTTAAAAAATTAGGAGTATGTACTCCTGATGTTGAAAAAGTATCTGGAGCCCAGGGGAATTTTCCAGGGGGACTCCTTCAGTCCTTCACTTATTTGTTTGTCTCTAAATTCTTTGAGCTTCCTGCTCAACCGAGAGGAAGGTAACCATCCCGGACCTCCTCAGCACAGATCCCCAACATCGCTTACTCATTTCCTTTACATGGATGACATCGAGCTCCTTGCCAAAGGAGATACCAATTTGAAAGAACAAGTTCTCCTTGTCGAGTCCTTTTCTAATGATATTGGCATGACATTTGGACTGGACAAATGTAATACTCTTCATTTGAAACGTGGCAAGGTGGTTCATGGTGGATCGGTCAAGTTACAGGGGGGAGGAGTTATTGAACATCTTGTGGAAGATCAGGCCTACACCTATCTTGGAATGCAAGTTCGATACAAGCTCCAGAGTGCCCAAATTCAAGAAAAACTTCGGGCCGAGTACATATCTCGCTTGAAGAAAATCTGGAGCTCAGGCGCCAGTTCTCTAAGTACTTTCTGTCTTTTGCTTGTTTGGGAATGCAGGAGATAACTCCCCTATTCATCGTCAAAGTTAGGTGATCATTTACAAAAGATTACTTTATATTTCGAAGAATCCACTGTCCCAGGTCTAGACTCTGGTTGTTTTTCATTGATTCGATTTGCTCTAAGGATTTCATTCTTGTCGATTGGGGTGTCTAATTCATTTTGCAATTTTTCCATCACGAGGGACAGTTAAGGATCTTTTTCATATAATGTCAATTATCGTTTAATAATCGAATTTTTAAAAGAAATAGAATTATTAGATACATTTTGATTAATATTTTTTGTAAATGGTAAATGTAAATGGTATTTTATACATAGCAGTATACATTAGCAACTGCAATTGTTAGCGGCTATATCCTTTTTAGGCTGTGAAACAATCGTAAAATAATTGTCCTACCGAGAGGGCACGTAAATCCCAAAACTTTCAAAGTTAAATATAAGCATACCAGATTTTTAAACGTAATATTTTGGTCTTTTAAAGTTGGGCTATTTTTTTCCTACAATCGCCAGTGGCTGAAGGGATGGTGTAAATCCAACTACAGTCCATGCATGTAGCAAAGGTACCGTAAGTCTCCTTTGTCTCTAGTATGGTGATCTAATTTCAGTTGTTTGGTGATCTATAGCCTGTTTTTAAATTGTATCGACCTCTATTGTTAAACTTTAGTTTTAGATTTATTTACTAGTTTTAAATATATACCTGTGATATTCTAGTTGTTTTACTGTCCTTCGCTGACAGATGTTTATAATATAGTTTTAATCATTATAAATCTATAGCTTGTTTTAGTCACGATATGGCTGAAGTATTGATATATCACTCACTCATTTTGCAAAGTATTTGGAAGGGTTTGGGGTATTTAGTTCTGAAAGAGACCAAGTAGTTTTCGTCATGCATACAGTCCTGCTCAGGGTCGGAATACAGATTTTGAGATAAAAAAGAAATCAAGTCTGGCTTGCTGCTTTGGAATGTTTTTCCACCTGGTATATTGCCTTGTATCAATATTGAGGTCACGCCAGGTATCCACCAGATTTAATTGATCTAACTTCTCTATGATTATTTCCTTAGCATTAGGATTATTTACATGTTTATAGTTCTCTAAACCGGTAGTTGGATGCATAACTATAAGGTCCAGTCAGCACACAACACCATTGATTTATATTATCAAATTCATCAATTTCTTCTAAAAGGGTATTGTAGAATGCTTATTTGGTCCATAGACATTAGTTAAAGTCAACTTTATGCCGTCCACACTTGTGTCTACAGACGACATTTTAATCTTCGATGGGAGCTTATCTGATCACAAATAACGCCATGAGGGGTACCTGTAACAGAACTGTCATTCCCTATACTACTCAACCCGTACAGATTTCGTATGTCCCAGCTAATCATTTGATCGTTTGAAAACATCTGCTCTTTGTAGCATATTTCAATCTTTTAAATGTGTGTTTTGCATTTCATCTTTAACAAATACTTTTACAATATACGTTTAATTATCTCATGCACTTTTAATGCCCTTTGTGATAAGCAATATATTGTTAGTTTCTGTGAATATCTTATGTCATTTCGTGTTACATCGTCTCTCAAAAGCCAGTTTTTTTGGATGGCTCGCTCTACGTTTATATGTAAATTCTATGTTTGTACTTTTGGCTTAAGAGCAGAGACGTGAATAAAAATATATGTCTGTCTGTCCGTCTGTCTGTCTGTCGAGAATATGACACTGCGTGTTAAATCTCGCATGTATTGTTTAAGTAAGATTCAGTAATCCGATATTTATTGATGATTACCTCTGTGCGTTCAATTCTTCTTACACGTATATTTAACAGAGGCTCAAACGAGAAATGGGGTTAATACAGGACGATGTACAATTTTGTTTACATATGCAATGCTAACCGCATTGTAAAACTGGGATTCTTGTACGAAGATATTAAATATGTCATGTGTAACAGTCTCTTTGTTGTTGTTTTGGTTACAGGTATGTCCTTATTCCAATACACGTCAGAACATGTGGCCACCATATGTAGTAACGAGGTTAAGTTTATTCATCAAATTCGTACTGACCATATATCTGTGTACTTGCGTATTTTTCACCAAAAGTCTGCCTGAAAGCGAAACTATATCTCGACAAAATTAAAAACTTGTTCTTCCTGTTATAGTTTATGTTAAATCTCAAAAGACTCAATATTTACCATTTCCCATTTTGTAGCGTCGGGACAAAAAGGAGACAACCCAACACTACCTGCAGGAAGTTATACATTTCCTTTCCGATACCAGCTGCCATATTCTCTACCTCCCTCGTTTGAGGGTTCGGTCGGAAGAATAAGATACTGGATTACAGGTACCATTGACAAGCCATGGAAGTTTGACGACAGAACGAAAAAGGTGTTTACAGTTGCCGGTCAACTCGACCTCAACCAGCGCCCCGAAGCAATGGTAGGTGATAGATAGTGCGCAAAATTATTCCATATAATTGTTAACCATGTAAGGATATTTCAGGGTTGTGTGAGGCTTGAATGTTGCGAAAACGAAGATATGTTCATGTGTTTGCAGAGAATAGCTGCAAATTGTTTTAAACCATTTAACAAATAGAATTGCAGGCAATAGTTGCTTATGTATGATTGCAGAAAGTGTTGCGAGGTGAAGACGAAATTTACATATGTTGCCTGTGCTGCGAATCTGGGCCAATCAGCTGTAACTTTGAACTTGACCGAAGTGGCTACGTTCCTGGGGAATCTATTCCTATCAAAGCCAAGATCACCAACCACAGTAACAGGACGATTCGGGGATCAAGCGCAGTATTATACTCGGTATGTAAGAATAGTGTGACATATAAGAATAGCTCATATCTTGACGTGTTTACTTTGAAAGTCAATTTACTCTTCAACTCAACAGTTCTTCTTGCTTCTGGTAGCTTAGGCAATAACAAACATCACTCTGGTATCAACATTGTGGGAGTGATAAATAGAATCTCACCCTCGTGTCTACTGATATCAATTATATCAACAATCGTTGATAAAGAAAATGAAAAATGTACATCTCTCAACACTGTACTACCATTAGGCTTGTAGTGCAGCAATGTCATAGCATTGTGACGTCATCAAGTTGATGACGTCATAGCATTGTTAGGGTATTGTACAAAATCTACTGTCAAAACACTGTCGTTTATTTTAAATTAGATACTAATGTCATTTCAGTGTAAGGTATCATATTGTACAGTTATTATGAACCCGTATATAAAGTAGATTAAAACGTGGGATGATGTACGTGTACATTTTGGCTCATTATAGATCGAGACCCTGTATTTATTGATGCCATTTTCTCAAGGCTTAGAGACTATGCTCTGTGTTCTAGATGGTCACCTATTATGCAACGACAAAGTCAAAAACAGAGGAAAACATAATAGGGAAACTATCCCACAGAAGAATTCTTCCTGGAGACTCAGATACATGGAATGGAGACCTTCTACCGATTCCACCATTGCCTCCATCTGACCAAAGGGGATGTCGAATCATTGGAATTGAGTATTATGTGAAGGTAAAAATAAGTCAGATTTGTGAAGCTAAAAATAAATCAGATTTATACGACAGTTATAATTGTCAGTTATAGGAAATAACAGTTTTTAGGCTCCAAATTGCTAATAAACGTGCAGTGTACGGCATACTGTTTACCCGTCGCTGTGCGGGAAACATATTAACGTGTATATCTTGGATCTGTGGACTATTATATTACATCGTGTCTCGGGAAATACGGGGTTTTATCAGTCCCGAGTAAGGTTGTATACTTACTTTGCCGAGTAACCTTCCGAAGGACTGATAAAATCCCGTATTTCCCGACACACGATGTGATAACGCATTTATCTGGCCGAATGTTTTTACTAAATCAAAAGAAAACAATACGCATCGAATCGACTTGTTTTTATTTATGTGATCGATTGACCTCAATGCAGCGCACGTTACTAAAGGCTTGGCGATGCACGCTATTCTCACTTCGCGTGGTCACCGAGGCGTGGCGGGATAATATGACTTTTGTACTCCCTGCTCGCGGATCGTGACGGGTGAACATGGTATTTTAGCAGAGTCATGTGAACCAATCAAAACTCGACATTCTTACATGAGGCTGGATACTGTTTGTTATGTTGCAGTTCTCTGTAGTTCCCACTGGACCTGCAAGCCAGTTAGATATACGGCTGAAAATAATCATTGGAACCATTCCTCTCTTGCCTGGGATCGGAGAGCCTATTCCTCCAAGTTACGGTCCAGGGCAGTGGCAGCTTCATCAGGGGAGAGTACAGGCTTTTGCTCCACCAACAACATCACAGCGTGAGTCTTCTTACTGTGTTACTTCCTCAAATCTACACACTAAACGCCGTATATCGAAGACGAATTGTGCCGTTTGTCGCTGTTAAAACCCTACTATGTATTTAACCAACCTTAAACTGAAAGATCGAACTCAATATCAGAAATTCTCTAAAACAACATTTACCCTTTCTTCGCTTCGAAGAATTGTTCAAGGTTTAACAGTATCTTAGCCCACTTAGGAAGCACTTTATCCAGAGTCGGCTAACAGTAAGAAGATTACGGGCATCCCAACATTTTCAGTCATCCCTCTTTGCCATATATTTTGTTCATTCTGATACATCGGTAGTTGACCTGTGAAGACCCGAGTTAAATTGATCTTCAGCCACCCACGCTGGTCATAAGAGGCGAGTAAGGGGATCAGGTGGTCATGCTCGCTGACTTGGTACACTCATGACATCGCATCCAAATTGCAGAGATCGATGCTCATGCTATTGATGATTGGGGATTGTCTGCTCCAGACTAATTTTTTTTACAGGTGCGGCGTTAAACAACAACCAATTAGCTAACCAAGATATAAGTCATACATCATATTTCCAAAATTGGACCCCTCTTCTCATTCGTTGTATTATCAAAAGATCCATGCCAGTTACAAGTTTCCTACGTAAAACGTGTTCTTTCTAAGTGTAATTCATCGCGTGGCTTTGCGTTTTTCCTAGCCAGAAAAGTAACTATTGAATGCTTTTTCGTTTCAGCAACACCAACGTATGCCGAGAGTACGTTTGGTAAGGTGAACATAAGAGATGTGGACGACACTGAGTATACCAAAGGAGACACGGACTATGCTCCAATGTATGCTTACTACAACGAGGGATCAAGAGCTGAGCCTTCAGCTCCTCCACAGTACTTAGATGCATCCACATCTCCAGTAACAACACTGAAGCCTCCAGTCACTCACCAATAGATGCATCTTTATTGCTAGTATGTATAGCAACATGCAGAGCTTAACCTTCTCCACAGATGCATCTTTACCAAAGTGTTGTAACAAATACATCAGTCCATATCCGGTTACTTCTCAGTATTTGCGTCTTTATGCATAACCAGTATCTGTAACAATGCACGCAGCTTAGACTGCATCTTGCACAGGAAAGTCACTCAAAACGTACCTGTTTAGAAAATATCAAACGAAAGAGATATCTGAAACATATAGAAAGTTTCGTAATATAAAATGATATGATATCTCCAAATGGGTTTGTTCAACAATCTTCAACATTCTGATGATGTTCTTAATAGCGTCCTTTTTAAAAATCACAAGATGTTTACACAAGAAAGCAATTTTTACACGAACAGAAAAGGCTGGAGGGGGGGGGGGTGTTATTGGGCAGAAGCCAGTGATATGACTGACAGGATATTAATTGGTTAAATTTTGCTTGGTGATGGGTTGGTTGTAGACAGTGGGCATGTTTTATCCTTGGTATCTGTTCATAGCCGCTTGAAGTCTCTTGATGTGAATGGCTTCAATGACTCCAACCGGCCTTGAACGGACTTGTTCATCACACCAACTTCTAAATTCCACTCAGAAAAGTTAATTGTGGTTAAAATAAGTATGTGTCGAATGTATGAATTTTACTATTTTCACATGCTATGGGGATTGTGAGGTTTTCATAAAGTGTAGCAGCCAAAGAATAATTCCTATCACATTCTGCTGTAAACATGCTCTTCCAAGCATGGGACAGCGCAATGTGTAAGAGTTCAATGCATATAATGTATACAACCTTTAAACTTTACTAGAACCTTAACAATGTTTATATTTTAACATGGATAAAAAATGGATCGAAATATTCGTGTAGTGAATGAGTGAACGAAATATTCTTGTAGTGAGTGAGTGAATTAAGATTTGAAGTCACATCGGCAATATTTCAGCCGTATCGTGACTAAAACTACTTCTAAATACTTAATACATACATATAATATATAAACCTCTGTCAACGAAGGACAGTAAAATTACTAGATTATCACAAAATGAGTTAAAAGTAGGTAGCATATATCTTTATAAGAAGAAATCTATTTTTGGACAATGCTATGTAAAAATGGGCTTTTGATCGCCAAGAACTGAAGGTAGACCACAATACTTGAGACCAGGGAGGAAATAATCTTGTAAAGCTAAGAGCAGAATAGCTTAGACTGAAAATTTGAAAAACGAAAATGGCTTAGTTTTGATTTGTACTAGCGGGCGTGTCCGACATGAAATTTCGGTATACAAGACGAATACCATTTTGTGCTAATTTATTCGTTTAGTGATGTTGGATCATGTTCACAACTAACATCACTTAGATAAGAATATGACAGGATGCACACACATCCGCACATCCGCACGCACACACACATACACACATGTAAGTGACCGACCGACCGAACTGACTGACTGACTGACTGACTCACTCACTCACAATCTAGAGTGTCTCTATGGTGGAAATAGTGCTAGACTTACTCACTCACTATTATAGAGCGGCTTAACGGTGGAAATAGTGCCTCACTCTCTCACTATCTAGATTCCAACTAGGGTCCAAAGGTACTCTTAGTCCCCATGGTCCCTAGTATGGTGATCTACCTTCAGTTGTTGGCGATCTATAGCCTGTTTTTATCTTGTATTGTCCTAATAGTGCTATTAGTTTGAACCTTCCACACTAGTTTTAAATCTAATTGTGATATTCTTGTTGTTTTACTGTCCTTCGATGACAGGTTCTATAATATACACATATTCTATTTCAATGTAAAATGTTCTCGTCACGATACGGCTGAAATATTGCCGATGTGACGTTAAATATAAATATAAACTCACTCACTCACTCACTATCTAGAGTGTATATATGGTGGTAATAATGACTGACTCATTCACTTCTTTGATTGGCATTCTAGAAGTTGGGTAGATGAAGAATGAGGTCGTTGCTTGACAATGACATTAGAATCTATATCGAAACGTCGAATATACAGAATAAAGAAGTTTGTATATCAACAAAAATAGTCCTCATTCTTCACTCATTTACTATCTACAGTTGGCTACATTGCAGAAATAGTGCCGATGCGACGTTAAGGGCAGAATTTGTGTGTGTGTGTTTCTCAAAAACAACTTTTTTTATTCCAACACCGCCTACTCAAACCTAAAACGTACCAACTCGTCATATAAAATGTTACCACCAAAAAGAATCAGAGTTATGACCCTTGACAACAGCCCGACCACGATGTCTGCTACTCGCAAAGCAGACGAAACGAAACCAAACATCTGGTCTATTTTGAAGTATCACCTTCATATCCCTTTTAAAGTGTGAATAGTGTCATCTTAATTTGATAACCTCTTAAAATTTATGAACTCTATAAACATAATCATGGACGATTGGCCTTGACACAAATGGGTTACTTAGAAACAAAATAATGGATGTCGGACAACTGGTAGTTTAGGCTGCGGACTTTGTGTACCCCTCTGATAAGTCTTATTTGGCACGGCTCCCACAGCCGAAAGCTATGAAATACACAATGCCATTTTGGAAAGTGGTCAAATGTAACGTATGTTATATTTGGGATTATACTTTCTTAGTAAAGTACAGATTCTAGTAATTTTGGGGTTGATGGATGGGACATTGTGTATTTCATGGCTCTCTTGACTCTGGTATAGTACCTGACTGTTTCAAGCAGGCGCTCGTGACCCCATTACTCAAGAAATCTTCAGACCCGTATCAAACCTTCCATTTTCTTTCAAAAATAATGGAGAAAGTGGTCTTCCTGTCTTTGGACAAACAGGAAGTTGCTTTGTCTCTGTGAACCATTCCATTTTAATATTCCCGCTTCAAGCTTTGGTGTAGCAGGCACAGTCCTATCCTGGTTGGAATCTTTCTTTGACAAGAGATCTATGAGCGTACACATTGACGGAGTCTGTTCTGGTCATAAGGACCTGAAGCGTGGAGTTCCACAAGGATCTGTGCTGGGTTTGTCCTCTTTTCGATGTACATGCAGCCTCTAGGAAGAATAATTTGTCAGCATTCAATCAACTTCGACAGCTATGCAGATGATCAGCAGTTGTATGTTGGCATAAAGCATAAAAGAATCCAGGATGGAGTCGATCAACTACAGATATGCATAAAGTGCATTCAGAACTGGATGTCAGCTAATTTTCTAAAGCTCAACAGTGATAAAACTGAGTCTATGGTCAGGAACGCCTGAACAGCTGAACGAAGTTGACAGTACCAGTCTGCTGGTAGGAATATCTTCTGTGCTTCCTCAGTCAAGAATTTTGGAGTTGAAATTAACAAATGCATGCCAGGAATATCACAGGCACTCAAAACAGCAAGAACCGCTAATTGCAAGCTCCACACCATCGGTAGAATCCGAAAGTATTTGGATTCTGATACCTGCAAAATGTTTATTCATTCTTATGTCTCGTCCCATCTGGACTGTTGCAACTCTCTTCTCTCTGGATCCGGCATTGTCTCACATCTCCAGAGAGTTCAAAACAAATCATCCCGCCTCATAACCCGCAATGGACTACATTAACGCATCACTCCAGTTCTCAGGGAACTGCAAAGGCTACCTATCAAACAGCGAATATACTTCAAGATCCTGACTATCTGCTTTTCTGCTCTCCACTGTGACACTGCTCCAGCCTATCTTAAGGACCTCCTCACTCCCTATCTCCCTGCTCGTAGACTCCGCTCATCTGATCAACTCCAGCTCTGTGTACCCTTCACGAGGACAAAGTTAGCTAACCAGGCTTTTTCAGTTGTGGCTCCAACTCTGTGGAACAGTCTTCCATCATCTCTCAAATCGGCGGACTCTATTGAGTCATTCCGCCGCGACTTGAAAACCTATCCCTTCAAACAATAACTCTGTTTATTATATACTACCGACAATAAGTATGGGAACACCCAAATATCAAAGTATAACAAAGTAAATGTAAAGTGGCAGTGTCGGTTTATTACAAGGGTATCTAAAACATTATGTGTTCTTACAATGTAATGGATTTATGGGCAGATATCATTGACTGCAATGCCAGTACAAGCAGCGGAAGAGGATAGGGGTCAAAACTGAAAGTCACAGTATCAATAGTGGGTGTGTCCTCCACGCTGATTGATGCATTCTGTACATCTGTGCCTCATGGACCTGACAAGGGTGCGGAGGGTAGCTTGGGGAATCAACTGCCATTCCATCTGGAGCCACTGTACAAGAACCTGAAGAGTCGGTGCCATTCCATGATTGTCTCTAACACGTCGGCCAAGAATGTCCCATAGATGTTCAATTGGAGCCAGATCCGGTGAATAAGCTGGCCACTGCATCACATTCACATTATTTTGTTGCAAGAAGTCTCTAACGACTCGAGTTCGATGTGGTCTGGCATTGTCATCTTGCAGCTGTGCTCCGGCACCAATGGTGTTCAAAGCTGGAAGAACCAGAGGACGCAGAATCTCATCCCGGTACCTCAATCCAGTCAAATTGCCCTGTACATGGTACAGAGGAGTACGGTGATGTAAGCTGAAGGCTCCCCAAACCATCACAGAGCCACCACCAAATCTGTTCCTCTCCCTCACAGTAGCATCATGGTAACGTTCTCCACGCCTCCTGAAAACCCTAATCCTTCCATCGTTGTGCTCAAGACAGAATCGTGACTCGTCAGTGAAGAGTACCCCAGACCACTGTTGCTGATTCCATCTCAAATGTGCTCTGGCCCAGGCCAGTCTTGCAGCTCTATGATGTGGGCGGAGTTGAGGACGTAACCGTACATTAGCAGCTCTGAGACGGTTCCTGATGGTTGAGATGCTGACGTTTGTGTTGGCTGCATGTCTGAGCTGCAGCCGTAGAGCACTGGCAGTTGTGAAGCGGTTCCTAAGGGCGTGGGGAACAACATATCGATCGTCTGCCCTTGTCGTTTGTCGTGGCCTTCCTGATCGAGCTCTATCTTGGTTTGGAACCGTT